GTTGCTGCCGGTTGAAGTAGGCTGGCTGCCATTTTGAATGACGTCACTGTCCATGCTGCTGTGTACTGTAGCAGTACCGTACAAGCTACACTACAGGCGTTACCTCCAGCACACGTTTTAATGAAATTAATTTCCCAGAATCCAAGATACCAGACCAAAATAAAGATTCTCTCCACCCTCCAAAATCTACCAAAACACAAAATCTTACTACTAATCAAGAAGATTTTGGAAAAATCGGACCCCAAAAGTGAAAATTTTGGACAAATATCAGAGCCCCCTCGCGAGGACCTCTGTCACTCTCACAACAAGCTTTCAACTGTGATAGCCTACATTGTAAGTATTTCGAGTTATTTACAACATATTTGTACCATATTCTCAGCTTTACTATAATGGAAGCCAAACTAAACATGTTTTATGTGCGTAAAATGTGCACGAATAATAATCTAATCATTATAATTGCACAGCCCTTGCGAACATTGTCGTGGCACCTAACACAGCTCGGACCCATGCGTGTGTATTTGTGTTTAGTTTATGTAATCCTGCGAGGCGAGGCAACTTCGCAATAACTGCGAATATGCCAGCTGACATAGTAGCAATACGAAATAACATCACATAATTGTGTGAATCGGGAAGAAAAAATATGTTGATCATGACATTCGAGACATTCCTAGCTTCGGGAAGGGGGGGGGGGGGGTAGCGACAGTTCCATTGGCATTACTGCTGCCAGCTGCCTGGCCTCGGCTGACGCGATGGATTGAAAATGCTTGTCGTTGATTCGAGCATTTGCTCTGCTGATACTTAGCTGATGCTGCTTCTCATCTAACGGAGGAGAACGAAAAATGCCGAAATGAAAATGAACATTCTTCCAAGCCGACGGATTTTACTCGACCTAGTCTAGATCTACTAGAGGTCTAGACCTAGATCTAGACTTAAAGTAGGCCTATGCCTACGAATTATTAGTGACACTGATACTGTACTGAATAGTCTTGAGCTTCAGCTCGAAGTCGGTGGCGGTGAGACGCACAAACACGTAGGCCTAGATCTAGCCTAGATCTAGATATGGGGTCTACTTAGATGTCTGAAGAAGTTGGGTGTTTGTGTGTCTCACCGTCGCTGAGTTCGAGTTCGAGTCTGACTGAGCTGAATGAGAGGTAGGTCTAGGCCTACTTCTTTAGCCTAGGCCCATCTTGATTTAGATCTAGATTAGACTCCAGTAGTAGTACTGACTGTCGAATGTCTCTACAGTCAACTCCTACTATAGTACATCATGCCTAGGCCTAGATCTATATCAATACATGTTTATTGTTGTACTTGAATTTTGATTTACTTTTAGAAGCAAGTTTAAAATTTGCGCAAGCTAATAGCCAATAAATCAATGTGTGTTTTTCCTATTCTAAGTTTATATTCAACCTTTCACATGGGACATCTAATGCTAATTTACATGTACATGTATTCTAGCTAATTTCGCATTTTATAAATATCAAGCATGAGTAGATTTTTAACAAAACATGACAGGAATTGTCCCATACGTTCTTATTCAAATTTCTGTATATGTTTCAACCTATTTGCCAAGGTCGTTGAAGCACAATATATCATATGTACGAAAGAATTGCAATTTTACTTCGCCATGTATAATGTTTTACGTGTAATTTTACTTTGCCACTGATGTTTACTTTGTAAAAAAAAACTGCAATTCGGCTCTCGGGCCGCGAATGTTTTTTAATGAAATAAACCATTTTAAATAAATAAATAAAATTGAGGTTCAGTGACATCATCTGTCCTAATTACCCAATAGTATGAATCAACTAGTAGTACTAATAACACTCATTTCTTTACTGCAATCAAAGTATCGTTACTATTTTTTTAGAGTTTGCAAAAGCTATTCAAAATCAGATTGTCTACAATACAAAAAATGCATACCATGTAATATCATAGGCTTTATTCGATAAGCAATGAATGATTTTTTTCATTTCATGTTCTAACTTAATTCACTTTTTTCTATTTTGTTGTGACAGAGACAGCATGGCTGAATATATTCACCATCTCCGCCGGCTTGACAGGAACAGAGAGTTGATAGGCAGACCTCAAAGAGGCCGTCGTGACCGCAAGAATCCTTTTGAAGTGTATGATGATGAGTCCTTCCGGACCAGGTACCAGTTTTCCAAAGAGACAGCGCTCTATAGCTCATCAACTTGGTGGATGAAGAGCTGAGGAGGACGACAGACAGGAACGACCAATACCTGTATTGATACATGTAGTGACAGCACTTCGACTATATGCTGTTGGTGAGTAATTTATCTTATTTAGTATGGGAATGTTATGTTAAAATTCTATGTAATCTGGGCTGAGCGAAAAAATAAAAGGGTAAAATTGTGGTTACCATGTTTGGCGGGAGGTTTTGTCATAAACCGGGATATTCTACATGAAAGTTGGAGGAAGGGCGTGGTGGCGTGAGACTCCCTCCAAATGCAAGAGGGTTGACAGCCCTGATTTAATTAAAAAAAACTATTCTACAATTTTAAGGACATTAAATATTTCTCAGTTTGAGAATTTGACGTGGCCTTGTAACTTGTAAGAAATTGTACGAGTTGATATTTCACTAAAAGGATTTTTTTTTTACAGGGTCATTCCAAAAGATGCATGATGATGAGGCACAGCTTTCACAGTCTTCTGTATGCAGAGTCATCAAAGACGTGTCAGAAGTGTTTGCAAGAAGAAGGAGACAATTCATGAAGAACCCAACATCAAGAGAAGAAGTAGAAGCAACATATAGCAGCATCTTGCAGTATTCTCACATCTGTATTTTCAATTGCCGTCATTTGTTGTGTTGTGCTGACTTTTTGTTAATCGTCATTTTCATCATCTTCATCATCTTCATCATCATCATCGACATCATCACTGAAATCGTTCATTGACTGCTTCATCGCCACCGACAACATCGCTGTCATCATTATCAATACTGACATCATCGACTTCAACATTGTCTTCGTCAATAACCTTGAATACTTGTTTTGATTATCCATATTAAATCGTCAATATTTAAATATACATTTCTCTTGTTTGATGGTGTGGTTTTTCTCGGGAGATCATTAAGTTAGAAGGTAAACCCCCTTGGGGAGTTCTACAAGTGAATAACCTACTTTGTTCATCTTGTTCAATTATTAATATACCATTTGCTGTTATCTATTACTCATAATTACTTTGTAACCAGTACCCACCATGAATTAAAATGGATTCAGTATTTTTCGCTAAATCCAAACACCTGTGCAGTACAACATTAAGATAGAGAGAGAGAGAGAGAGAGCAAAATACAATGAGAGAGATGAAGAAAGAAGGAAAAAGGGTATGTGTGTGAGAGAGAGAGAGAGAGAGAGAGAGAGGTGGAGGAAAAAAGAAAAAAAGGGGTATGAGAGGGAGGAAGAAAAAATGGAGTTCTAACGAAATAAAAAGATCAGAGAAGGTGGGGTAGAGAGCTGGTGAAAAAAGAGAGACAACAAACAAAAACAGGGAAGGTGAAAAAGTGAGAAATCGAGAAAAAAAGTTTTTTTAAAAGTTTGACTTTCCTTTTAGTTTAAACCACTATTCCCTTAAGAAATTCAATAGATCTACAGCAAAAAAAAATTAAAAAATGAATGCCCACTAAGAAAAGAATTAATACAGCAAATAAACAAATTGAGAACAAATTAATGCCCCACCTCCCTAAGAAAAACTGAATCTGGACTATAAGCAGACGAAGGTGAACTAGGTGGAGTAACTAAGTGTACTGAACGCGCATGCTCAGTTCACTTTTTTTGCTCTCTTAGGCATGCTTAAACCGTGGGTTAACCGTGGGTTAGATTTAGACCATGGTTTATGTAAACCTCGCTTTGTGAATACCGAGCGAGGTTTAGACCATGGGTTAGATTTAGCCTGGGCTAAATAACCCACGGTTTATTAAACCATAGACCTATTACGGATGGACATTCATCGTTTTCGAAACGAATTCATTGTGATTGTCTCCGTCAATGTCATCTCAATAACATTCCGTACATGTTTCGTCACTTTGATCTCATGATGGTCACCGCCAAAAAGCCGGAGAGAATCAAGATAGTGATTTTACACATGTTAATCTACATGCGCAGAAGATAATAACTCACCTAAATCATGGAAAATCGATGTGCAGTTCTGACTTATAATCGGAAATTGTTGTTCCGTGTACTGTGCATGTATTTTATTTTGAAAAACATGTTAATATTACCAGATAGAGGTTATTTTTGGATTTTTGGGTTGTGATTTAAAATCCCGTTTCCCCCTATTTCCTCATAATATTCCAGAGTTACAAAGCACAGGGCTTATACAGATCATGGCCTTCTAACTGTTGTGTAAGGTCATGGGTGTGTGCGAAAGTGTGCGAATCAGTAATAATACATTTCATATCACCTATTCGTCTGCTTTTCAACTTTGCTGCTTCCCATTTGGGATGCTTTCATTTAAGACACACTCTTACAGAGCACACCATACAAACAAAACCCAAGAGAGGGAAACTGCTCCTTTGTCAATGACCGAAAATGCTTACGCAGTCGTTATTGTTAAAACAGCTGAATGTTCTCATTAAGATGCACATAATCAGAAGGCGGCGACTATCATTGGATCAAAGAAAGAATCACGTTGAATGTCCATCCGTAATAGGTCCATGATTAAACCGTGGGTTAAATATAAACCTCCTTTGTGAATTCGGGCCTATAGGTCGACAAGGAAATTGTCTCATTGTCTCACTGCGAATTTTGTTGTTGATCAATTTGACATAGTAATCAACAAGTCAATACATATGAATACGTAACTGTGAGTTAGTCTTTCTTATCGACTTTAGTTTACAGTGGTTGATTATATATATAACATGAGAGCCGCGTATCAGGTTAAACACGTTTATGTTAATACCATTTCTTTTGTTTTATTTCACGCTATACTCGTTATTGTGTGACAGTTATAAATAATATCACGTGACTCTATGAACTATTCAGGTACCATATCTGTCGCACTACCTCGTCGATATCTTGCCGTGGACCTACTGCTGTACTTACGGTGGACCATATGAGTGCAGCCAATTTGGAAGATACCGACCTTCTCAAATGTGTAGAGACTATGTACCGCCTCCTCCAGGTATTTTTTATTTATCGATTTTATCAATCTCCGCATAACCATGATGATGTCAGCTAGACTTAGTTATGGAAGCATATTTGGAAATATATGTGTAACCATAACAGCTTTAAAAAAAAAGACGCGGTGAACCGCTGCGAAAAAGATGACCGCCGCGGTTTACTACCTCATTTCTGAACGGGGCTTATGTTATTCTATTACAAACAATGCCGACAAAGGGAAAACAAAAAGTTACCCCTAGGTTTTAAACAGGTTTTGGTGCTGGGATAGGTAGGACTGTATTCACATAATGGCTTGACTGTCAATTCCAAGCGTTGCACCAATATGTCATGCTGAATGGTGTTGAACGTGCATGAAAAATCGAACAGTGCAAGGATGTCATTTGTTACTCCAAATAGAGCAGTTTCAATGATATAAAGCGAGCGTTAGCCAGATTGGGAATTTGCTTACAAATACTCAAGTACTGTTGTAGCTGAAATGCTGCAATTCTTTGTAAAACCTTACCAAAGAACCTCATATTTGCAATGGGACAATAACTTTTCAAGAACTTCAACATTGGGGGCTTCGTTTTTCAATCTAGGTTTAACAGTTGCACACTTAAAACTTAAAGTCAGTAATGAAACATCAATCACCTTTGTCATAAACAGTAAAAAGTTAAAATAAATCTCTTCATAAGTTAATTAGGAACAGAATCCAATTCACATGTTGTTGAATAAGAAGTAGTGATGAACTTTGCAACTTCATTTTCAGTAACGGATATAAATAGGTTGAACGATGAAGTTGAACAAATGAAAAATATTGTAAAAAATGCCCCCCCCCCACCACCACCACACACAAACACAAACATAGTTTTTGGTGAGACCATGGCATTACCAATTTCATGCTTAAAGGTACCATTTGCAGGCCAACAAAAAAGGACAAATTTCAACAGCATTGGAAAGACAATACTAATTTAAAACTTCCCTCAAAACGAAAGGGCTTGAAAAAGGCTTTTAGTGGGTAAATAACGACCATTAGTTGTCTAATCGTCATAAGTGGTTGCTGTTGTTGTTGTTATTTTAGTCTTTATGGTGTGTATCTATCATTTATTAATATTTACAATCACATAATATTGCACTCACCTAAGTAATAGTCTGATTTTCAGACCCTTTTACCGAATGGTCGTGCGTTTTGTGCTGCACAAAGATTCAATCAGTTTAATTTTGGCCTTGGCAAGAAGTAGGTTGTTGATGTAGACAAATGCTCATGTACCTGCCTACAGCTCTTTTTATGTATGTTATTACCAAAGAAAATATATGTCGGTCCGTCACTCATTAGTGTCTGACAGTGAAGTCTAAAAGGTAAACAGGTTTGTTTGCATAATTTGAATACTAAGGACACTGCTAATGTTTAAATTTAACAGATAGGACATACATGACATATTCATTATTCCTGCAACGTTCTAAAGAATCTGATGTTGGCTGCAAAAGGGACATACTACCTTTAAGAGCATGAAATTAATATCATATCGGGGCCTTCAGCTTTACAAGCTTGCTTTCATGTAGGTCCCATCATATTTTTCTTAGTTAAATCAGTACTCGATATTGACCACTTATCTTTGTTATTTATTATGAATTCTTTAAAAAAAAAAAACATTTTGTACTTTATTTGAAATGTACATGTAACATGAGAAATATGAAATTAAATGAAATATTCTGTGAATTGTTATAAATTCTTGCTAGGAAAATCATCCTTGATACTGTCCCAATGCCTTTTCCCCCTTAAATAATATGTACTAAATTGTTCCCCTTTTTTTACCCCTTCCAAACCCCCAATCTCCACCCCCCCCCTCCCCCCTCCTCCTCCCTTTGTCACAACGCAGCATTTGGCAATGGCGATCCACATATTTCAACTCTTGACTCGACCACATACACTTTCAACGGTCACGGTGAATTTACTCTGCTGAACGCACTGAATGACACCTTCATCTTACAAGCAAGAGCGGCTCCTCTCGTTGGTAAAATCATCTTCCATTTATTGTTTTAGCTCAGTCTTCAGTAAACATTTTTTGTCACGTCGATGTCAATCCGATTTTACATCCGTTTGCGAGTTTACTCAGATACATTAAAAAAAAAAACTCCTGATAGTCTGTATACGGTTTTATTAACAGGAACTTTTAAAACAAGAATTAAGTTATTATAATCTTCTCATCCTGAATTGGTTTTAAAAGAGTTCTTGAAATTGACCCGAGCTTCTAAATGTCTTTTTTTCAACAAACCTACGTGAAAGGGGCATTTAAAGGTAATACCAAGTTTTGGTATAGGTTCATGAATTTGGTTCAAATGAAGATATTGGAAGCATATGCGATTTTACAACCTTCAATGATCGTTGTCGCGGTTGAAATCGAGTTTAAAGTGATTAGATTTTAAATAATAAACTCGTTATGTTGTATAGCTCCCTCTTGAAATTATATATCAGAACTGCATATTCTGAGATTGCCATGGTCGCAACTGCTATGGAATTGCCTTAGGCGCTATTTGAGTATTTTAAATTTACCGGGAGCACCGGTAAATTTTGATTATCTAATTACTCGAAAGCAGAATTGTTTTAGGGGCTAAATTGTCTAATGCTTATAATATATCAACCTTTTTAAAAATTACTATCCACCCAATGTTCAATATTTCCCAAAACTTAGCACCTTTTTGAGGCAATTCAGGATCATTTTGAGGTCTAAGATCAAAGGGTCATACATGTATATACAGAATAGGCACGATATTCTGAGAACCTGCTAATGGATTACAATCAAACTTGAATTTTGTAATTGCGTCTGATTTGGTTTGTAAAATCTATCTATGGCGGGGGCATCATTTATATTCTTTCTAAGAGGGGAAACACTGCTGTCTATGCCCAATGATGAACCTAACGCCAGATCATTCATCCTGTTCATAGTGAACATAGTAGTCAGGGTGTTTTGTCTGTAATATCTGACACTTTCACATTTGTTCATTCTATAGTTATCTGTTAAATGGAAGAAATTTTCGTATCAAAATGTATTTCTTACTGCACCTTCCGTTGCAGGAACGTCCGATGCAACGGTGTTTGTTGCCATGGCAGTACGATTTGGTGATAGTGATGTCATTCATGTTCAAACCAATGAACGCAGGGTTCTTGATGCTTATGTCCGACTAGCCGGGGATGGACAAAACTTCACAAGGATTGAATTCGATCAGGCTTCTCGATGGTCATATTCAGGTATTCCTTAAAAAACAAAATGTGTTTATGTCGCTCCCGTTCTTAGGTCATATCAAGCACATCAACTAAAGTTGTTTATTAGTATTTCTGTTATGCGATAAGTATTATATTAATTTATTTATTTATCATTCGAATTTATTGCCTCTTCTTCTTATCGAGAAGATGCTGATAACGCAATTTATTAGCAGTAGTGGGAAGGTGACCAGGAGACCTTGGTCAGTTCAAAAGTTGAAAGACTTTCAGTTTTCGAGTAACTTGGTATCGAGGAGTATCGCACCATTGTCAATTCTGATGTAGTTTCGAACCAAAAATCTCCAAGCTTTCATAGGGATCCCATTTTTTCCACAAGCCACAGGTAATAATTTGTCAAAGCTCTCAGGAAACGCATATAGACGTTGTTTAATGGGATATGCGCTATACGAGAACCGAATAGTTTTCTTATTAAAGAGCTAGTGAGCAGAACTAATTTATTTCAGATACTTCATTTATTCATATTTTGCTTTAAATATCAACTGTTTGATGTTTACAATAAGTTAATCAATAACATGAATCGTTGAGTTTTTTGTACCCATCTTGTTGCTTCTATTCGATTTCGTAGGGGTCTCGGTAACTGGTCGCAACATTACCACAGATGGAATAATTGTAGCTTTCGATGGAGGGGTAGGGCTGAATCTAAAAGCATCTGAGGGGGCCATGAGCATTCTTCTTGTAGCTCCAGACTCCTTCCGGGGTCAGACGCAAGGCCTGATGGGAACGTGGAATGGCAATTCCAGCGACGATTTCCTAACTCCTCAAGGATCTTTCCTCTCAGCTAATTTGACTACTGAGCAGTTGCACTACCAATTTGGATTACTGTGTAAGATCACATTTTGTTTCCTCCCAACCCTTTTTTCTCACTGTATGTTAATATTGTTCATAGTTATCTTTCATTCCCTTGATTTCGAAGTACATATATTATTGACACTAATTATAATTCACCTTAACATAAATAGACTCTATTTGCTGCGACCTCTGAAGTCATTCGTCTATAATCTTCATTACCTTGACTTAATTTTCCCGTCCTAGGTAGAATAGAAACAGAGAGTGAGCAAATGTGAGGTATTCAAGATATGGTTGAAATCTGGTCATCCGGTGTAATACATTTTGTATGAAGTCATTTATTTTGAAAAGTTTATTAAGTACTATTGATAGAGATAGAGGTATTGGCGTCCGCTAAGAGGTTTTTATGATAATCAAAAATACCAAAAAAAATCGACTCAATCTTGCTGACACAACATGCACTGCACACACATAATGGTTTTGGATACTAAACACACATTTTACATGAATGTTTGCTCGGAATTTCTTGTCATGTTTCGAATGAAAGCATTTGACAAGCAATCATTTTTTAGTATGTGCACTATATTCCTTCAGACTTCCATTACAACAACAACAAAATACTTCTTAGATTATTAATTACCTTTTAAAGAACCCAGCCTTCTCCTTAACCTCGGGTATCGAAGAGACCATCCTAACTATTACAGGATTCTTTAGATGAGAGGATACGTCGCTGGACTGTCGATCGCAAGGTACGTGGTTCGAGTCCCGCCGTGGCACTAATGTCCTTTGGCAAGACATTGATCTACATTTGCCACACTCAACCCAGGTGATGTAAATAGGTACCTGGCAGGAATTTATTCCTTGAAATGCTGGAGCGCTGTATAAACGGCTGCTAGGCTAAAGCCCGGGTAATATTAAATGTGCCTCGGAATAGAATTATCTAGATAGATGGCGCTATAAAAATGCCTATTATTATTATATCTCCATAGTGTCGTACTGTCGTTGCTTCTGATCTTGAACACGCATGTGCGTTACAAAGGAATACATGTATGTATTTTTGGTCACTTTCCTTTGCTTCAATACAGGGGAAATCGACGCAGCAGAATCGTTGTTCTATTACGAACTGGGCAAGGACCACGAATCTCATACCGACCGCACTTACACTCCTGTCTTTGAGCCTGTCGCCAACCCTTCTGTCAACCAAAGCTTAGTGGTAGAGGTGTGCGGTACAAACCAGTTCTGTTTCTTCGACTACCAGACAACGGGGTCACAGAGTTTTGCCCAGAATTCCGTGAAGGCACTCGTGCAGTATCAGCAGGCGGTCGACAACAGAGCATCGTTCGGTAAGTTTTTTCATACCGGTTGCTCACAAACCCTCATTCTATTGCACCAATCACATTCATCCATTCATATACTATCAACATAACACGATAGAGCCGCGTCGCGCATGAGGCGTCATGTCATTTTCGTTACTACCTGTACTATAATTAAGGAAGTAAACAGCCATTCACCAGTAATTCAAGGCAGTGTTTACATTTTTCATTTCGCATTCATTTTGGTTTTGATTTCACTCTCACATGGCATATCAAAGATCGCGCGAGTCACTGACGCTGTTTTTGGTCAGCAAAATAACACCTTGTGTGTAACGGGCTTTTAAAGAAAAAGGTGAGTTCTGGTGGAAAAAGAAAAGAAAATGAATTCTCACAAAATCAAACGAAACTTACACTGAATGTTCATGCCACAGGGCTTATCCCCATTGTGCGAAGCCCTAAATCCCCCATGCCAAGTTTTTTGGGGAGATAATCTGATTAACGCGATGGATCTATGACAAGCGCTTGCGAAACACACAGCACACTACAATGAGCATGAACAGTAACTGCTATTACGAATGCGTGCAAACATGCAAATGACAGCGAAGCAATGGCTCGCTCGCATATACAAAGTACTTTAACGGTAGCGTGCATGTAGCCTCATGGCAGGCTATACTATTTCGTACCTGTATTTCCTTTGTTCATATTCCGTTCATATCTTCAGTGAGTTGCCCAACTCTTCCCGCTCCTGCTAACGGAAGTGCCATCGTGACGACCTACATGTCAGGGGGCGTGGCCAGATTCGTGTGCGATGCCGGCTTCGTACTAAGTCACGTGGTCAACTTAACCTGCCAATCAGATGGTACTTGGAGTGATGGCGATACCCCGGCGTGCATCATTGAGGCATCCGGGCAGACAATCCCTATGACCTCTGACGTAACAAAGGGGCATGTTACGGAAACTTTCAAGACTGCAAGGACGCCAACTGGTCAAGGTGAGAATTTAGTGAGGTCAATGTCAAATGGACCCTTACATATTTGTTTAAATGTTAGAATTTAGGTATTCGATTCTGTCTACTAGATGAAAGAAATTTCTTATCCCGCTTTATAAAACAAAATACGTTAATCTTTGTCATCTGCAAGATAGCCTTACAGATCAAATAAAAAAAAATGTCATGATTATAAAAATCCGTTTGGCTAAATCAGGCTTAGCTACTCTTTATTGTATCTGCTTAATCGCATTTAGTGTATCAATGTATCAATTTTTAACGTCAATATTAAGTTTTTCCTCTTCCCCTACAGTTCTTTCGACGCCCGCGATCATCGGAATATCTTTTGGATCGGTAATTCTTATCGTCGTGATCGTGCTTATCGTCGTTCAGATCTGCGGACCAAAGAAACGTCCACCGTCCATTAGGTATGCTGCATTTATTTTGTTGGCACAAAAGGCACATAGACAAGCACGGTTATCATGATATCAAAGACCTTCAGACAAATCTTTATTGTACATCCATATTGGGATCAGAAATTAAGTGTAATGTTTGCACGTGTTAATAGTTGATCGATAGGGATATTGATATTGTCTCAGGTTGATTTCCTTTCTACACTGGTCTTTGCCGTATTGTTCGTGTTACAGATATGGGTTTTCAACTGTAACTCATTTCTTGTATAGGATGTCGAGTGGGTGGTCAGACACTTGCCCCGCTGACAATTATTCCTTGCTTCATTTCCTCAAAATGATGGGGTAAGGATAAGAGTTGTAATTCGCTTGTAGGTTAGGCTTAGGATTAGCGTTACGTTTAGGTATAGTGTTGGGTTCCATTGTTAAGGCTAGAAATTCGTAGGACAATTACCGCAAAGGATACAAATGGTCACTCGGAACGAGTGTCGTACAACTATCACAAACCTCACCTGACACCATCACACAATCCCGTTAATTTGTATATTCCATCGTCATTATAATGAATCCTTATTATTCCCTCCTCAAACTGCATTTCGCTCTTCCTTTATTTTGTTTGAATTTGTTTCTTGTATTAGCAAGATGAACCCTGCAATGGACCAGGCTGAAGTACATGAAAACCCTACCTACGTCCAGTAAGTTCTCTTAAACATGAGGTTGAGTATGGGTCACGCAGTTGAATTTTTAATTAAACTGTTTGGAAGCAATTTGGAAAAAAGTTTATCAATAATGAAATTTTATTTTTATGATAATACTTATAGTAATGATAATAATAACATTTTAAAGAAGAAGAAGAAGACAATTGATAATAGTAATTAAAAAATAATTATAATAATAATAATAATATTAATGATAATAATAATAATATAATATAATAATAATAATATAATTATAATAATGATGTAAATATTGATACTAATAAAAAGGATAATAACAACAATAGTATTGATGATAACAGTAATATAGAAATATAATCATAAATGAGAGATCCAGGCCCAGAGACCAGAAAAGTGATGGTGGGCAGAAAAGAGAGCCAAAGCAACATAATTAATGTTGATGGCGTTTTTCTTTTTTTTTCTTTCCCTCTTTCTCTGTAGTGCTGAGTCTTCGCAGTGAACTTCGGTACAACGAGTGGATCGACGCGTGAGGACGAAGCCACTGTTTTGTAATCTCTGCAAATACATGCATAAGTGGATAATCATATTGACGCTTTTTGTAGGCTTTTTATTTTTTCATTATTTGGAGAAAACAAATCTCAGAATATGTTTTGTTGCTATTACTCAGACATAAATGGCTTTGATATAGAGCATATACACTTTACTATTATACGCTATTTGTGTAGCTTCGTCTTTTAAGTTTATGATTTAAATCAATTTCAACTGCCAATAGGAACTAGATATTAGAGACGGCGCAGTGTTCGTGAATATATATTCCAAATGATAACCATATTCATAACCATTATACATGTCATACTTAATAATTATGTCTTTAACATAAATTTGTTAAACGGTGGTTGCTGTAGGGTAGTATCTTACCATGACTCTCAATAAACTACTCTTAGATGCAGTAGGTTCGTTTACCATTGAAGCTGTTATATTCCGGTTTTATCTCACGCTGTTTAAATTCAGCCTTTTGAGATTAGTTTCCTCTCTCATTTCATGTTTTCTTACCAAGAGGTGGCGCTGCACCTCTTACAGTGGTCCCAAATGATTCAGATTGCTTAATTAAATATTGAACCAATTAATTTGCATAGAATTTATGTTTATACTGTAAAACAAATATTAATTTTCATAACGTTGTGTCCGAAAATATTAATATGAAGTATTACCGTCACCTTTGGCTTTTGTCTATATTAAAAATTCTTCTTTTTTTGTTTTCCTCCCAAATTGTAGAATTGTATCACAATTTCTGTTCTTGTGTACTATATTAGTTTGGATACTTATAAAAAAATAAAGTTTGTCTGTGTTTATAATGTAGGATACAATGTTCTATGTTTATGTAACAAAATTTAAGTTCTTCTTCATAATTGTGTATATGGAAATCTGAATAAAGGCATAAAAGCTTTATACATTTTTTTTTTAGAACGTGTGTCTTTAAGATAAGGTAAAAGTCATTGACAATTGTCAGAGGCCTACTTATCTTTTGATTTCCGTATAACATTTAAGATATTGAGAAGCACTAAGACAATTATATGCGTCATATATAGGAGCAAACACTTCTCCAGAGAGATGGTATCTCTTTCCCGAATTATGACTTTTGCTGTTTATATATTCGAGCCAAAAAGAAGAAAAAAATGCAGTTGATTGTAATTAATCATATCATATTTTATTTTAATTGATTAAATTTGAATTTGAAATTTGAAGGAATAAAAAAGAAGATAATGTCATACCACTTGGGAACTGAAAAACATTTAAAAGGAAAACGATGAAGAAAAAAAAAGGATTATATATAGCCTTCACTTTTGCGAAGAGTCAATATGTAATTCCTGAATTAAGACACAATTGTCTTCCGTTGGTCTGGTTCGGTGGGTGGGTTGGGCGAGTGGGCGAGTGGGTGAGAAAAGAAAGAAACAGATAAACATAACACAACACAACAGGTTGATCAGATGTGGGTAACACAAAGGGAGAGGTCATAATATGACGGAAGATTTACACAAAGGAAGAATGGTTGAAAGGAGCAAAGGAATACACAAAAATGATGACAAGAATCAGGCATTACACATGCAAATTACGATGAATACAATTACATGTACACAAAATAAACAAATTTATTTTAATGCACAACTCTACAAACACAGTAGTCGTCCTAGTTCAATGAAATAGTTTTTCTTTTGAAGCCAACGATTGTTTTGTTCTTTAATTTTAAATGTATTATCATGATAAAAGATTGAAAAAAATAACTTGTTAATGGAACTTTACAATGATCTTGTCCTTGTGTGAATGTTCACTCTATATGTCGTCCTTGTTTTCACGAAGTGACGGTAGTGAGGAAAATCGTAACGCAAAGTGAATGCAATTTTTTTTCACTACCGTCACTTCGTGAAAACAGCGACGATGTATATAGTTGTTTCATAATTTGTGGTAAATCTACATCAGTAATACAATTTTGGAAAATATAAATATTAGATTTACATGGTTAAGCAGTCGACTTGTCATATAAATAAATATTTCGATCTTGTCAAGGCGAAAATAAAGTTAGCTGATTTGATTAAAAGTAGTCTTGTTCTTCTTTTGCATTAATTTAAAGAAATATATATTTTTACAACGGCTGTTGGAGGTGACATGTGGCCATCAGTTTGATAGCGAAAGAGGTCATAAGAGAGAAAGAGGAGTGAGGGAGAGAGAGAGAGAGAGAGAGAGATAGAGGGAACAAAAAAAGAAGAAGAAACAATCAGATAATGAGGAGGGAGAGTCTCCATGTTTTTTATTATCATCGTCGTCGTCATCATCGTAACTGGCATGTAAAGTGTGCTTTTCACTCAAAATGCGCATCCCGTAAAAAGACATCAATTCTTCTAGGTTAATTTAAAATGACTTTTTAAAAATAATATCTGGCATGACAAAATATGTCATATGTTGAATCAAGAAAAATGCTTCAGTCGTCAGATTTATGTTGTATTATTTTGATGTTAAAATATAGGTAGTTTTTTATAACCCCCTTATTCGAAGTATATCACAGTTTCATGATTCATTTCATCATACATAATTACTTGTGTAGTATCCCACTTTCAATTGTTTATTTAAAAGGTTAATTACCTAAAACTTGTGATAAAAATTACATCAATTAAAATTCCTTTTAATATCAGATAATACTTTTTGTGATCAAAAAATCAAAAAGCCTAGTTTTCTACTTTCAAATTTTGAGTAAAAATATTTGTAATACGAGTTACTACTTGCATGGCATCGACCCCTATTTACTTACTTACTGCCCATTATACCTCCTGGCACATAGGGTAGCAACAAACGTCTTCCACTCCTTCCGATACTGGGCCAGTCTTTGGATGGTTCTCCCCTTCCACAGTTCTTCTCCAAGTGTTTTAAGGACCTCCCCTCCTTCTATCGCCTTCTAGTGTCCAGTTGGGGCTGTTCGTGTGATGTCATCTATGTCCTTTTTCATTACATGTCCGATCCATCTCCACCTTCTGCTCATGATGATGTTCTCCATGCTGCCTTGATGGCATTGGGCATACAGTGCTTCTTTTGAAATGGTGTTCGGCCAGAAAATGCGACATATTCTTCTCAGGCTCTTTGTGTGGAAGACCGACAGCTTATTGAGGTCGTATTTTGTCATTCTCCAACATTCAGAGCCGTACCGAAGAGTGGAAAAGACACAGCTCTGGTACAACTTTAACTTGGTCTTGATGCTGTACTGCTGTGATCTCCATATATTGTTGAGTATTCTGAATGCATTTCTGGCTTTATCAAAACGGTTCTTAATATCTTTGCCTGCGCGTCCGTCGTGCCTGGCAGTGCTGCCCAGGTAAGTAAACTCCTCAGTTATAGGTAGGTCTTCCCCGTTTGCTTGTATTGGTAAAGGGTTCGAGATTTTCAGAGTCATCACCTCTGTTTTCATTTGGCTGATCTTCAAGCCAATTTTCTGGGCAAAATCACTGAGTCTGGATGTTTTTTCTTGCATATGCTGGTGGGTGTGTGAAAGTAGAACGAGATCATCTGCAAAGTCGAGGTCCTCAAATAAAAAAAAGGTCCATATAATATGCCTCTTTTGGGTTTTCAGTTTCCTGCCTCATTACCCAGTCTATGGCGATATTGAAGAGCAGTGCTGACATGACACATCCTATCTCCAGTCTTCACTTGGAATTTATGGTTACTTTTTCCTACTATTCATGTGAAAATTACAAGAACTAGTTGCACTGGTATCCCATATTTGCGTAGTATTCTCCAAAGGCTGTTTCGGTGGATGCTATCCATTGCTTTTTCAAAGTCAACAAAACTAATATAAAGTTTCCTCTGCCATTCTGTACATTGCTCCATGGTATTACGTAGTGCAAATATCTGGTCAGTGCACCTTTTCCCTTCTGAAAACCTGCTTGTTTCCTTCTAAGACTTTGGTCAACAGCATCTATGATACGGGTAATAATTATCTTTGCCAACATTTTACTTGGTATTGACAATAGTGTGATGCATAATGTAAGCATAATTAATTTTTCGTTTTTGCCCAGTAAATGTGTAAATTGCGCAGATCGACATTTTCGGTCAGTAGTTGGGGGGGGGGGGGGGTGGTAGTGCACTCATATATTTTGTTTATATTTTGTTTAAGTCCAAAGGGGGTTCCGAGTCCGTCGCCCCACCCCCTCCGTGGATCCGCGCCTGACTGCATCGACTCCTACCGTCACATTATTGCTTATTTTTTTTGTTGTTGCAAAGGTTATAGCATGGATGCCACGTATTACCTCCAATTATGATTGGCTAGTCTACTACTATCTCTACATCAGATATCCGTATAGACATTCCCCAAAATAATGACGCAAAGTCCACATGCATTCGCTTATCATACAGTTATCATGATAATTGGTGTTTGATCCGAACACTTGTTATTATGTTTCAATCTTTGGACATCATTAACCTCGTAAATCCACACCGTTGAAATAAATCAATAAGTAGATAATGCAGAAAACATAATTATCCTCTCTGACTGGAATGTTTTTACACGAAATTACATTGTAATTCTTGATAAAATAAAAATCAAAGTGCGTGACCAATCTGTAATACAGTTACACCTTGTATGTTTGTCTTTGCGGTTGTTTGTATAGGGATTTAATTTATTGTCAAGATAATTATTTAACCAGGATGTGTATGCTTGCGCAATCTTTTTGAAGATATACTGGCGCGCACGTCCGTAAAGCGACGAATTGAGTACGGTAGACAGTGAGAACATTCCAGGCTGTGAACTAGTGAGTGGACAGAACGTGTAAAGGGAGAAACCAGGTGGCTGAGCAACAACACAATCATAGAAAGACAGACGACGATCAGCAGAGCACAGACGAAAGGAGAAGACGAAGGAGAAGAAGAAGAAGAAGAAGAAGAAGAAGAAGAAGAAGAAGAAGAAAGACGCTATATTTTGAAGATAACTGCAAAAGATAGGCCTATTGGACGGATTCTAAAATATTGACAGACTTGTAACTCTCTGCGATGATTTGGAAAGTTGCTATTTTCTTCTGCGTGGCTATCATCTTCGATGTACCTCAGAAATCAGAGGCAGATCAAAGTAAGATCATACAATTATTTATATCCAACTTTCCGAAATAATATTGTTTGTAAATTATTAAGGCTTGTGTTCTTGTCTTTTGAAGGCTAACAACATTCATTTTTGTCCATCAAACAAATTTCACCCCCATCTCTATTTTTTCTTCTCCTCTCTCTCTCTCTCTGTCTTTTTTAAAAACCACATTAGTAATATAGGTTTTCCCGGCCAATTTCGTCAAAGCAGCGATCAATTTCACTAACGTGCATTCATGTTCGAGCAAATTCTCTCCCCTCGTTACTTCCCTGTTTCATTTTTAAACTTTTTGCATTCAATTTCGTTTCGAGTCACCGAATTTTCGAAACAACCACATTCAAATTAACGTTTGGTTTAGTCAATTTGGAAATGCGCAAGCGGCATTCAATTTCGCCAAAGTTGAGTGGGAGGACAATTCTTTGTCGAATTGCGGTTTCATTTTCGTCTATGGGCAACCTCTTTCAATCACGAAATTGAATGCTCGAATACATACCACCGTCTGTCCGGCGCGAATTTGAATGCTCTTTGCACGCTTTTCTAAATTGAATGCTCGTTTTGCACTTCTCCGTGACAAGAGTATGAAATCGCATGCTACTAAATCAAATTGAAAGACGCAATTAGCTTTTTGAATGTTGATCTACATAGTCATTCAATTTCGCACGAACTTGAATGAACGTAACGTTAATTCGGATGCTAAGTTTACGAAGTTGGGTGGGAAAACCTATAATAATCATTATCAGATAAGTCATACCAACGGGCTCGTTGGTATGGTTGAGGCAGCACATTACCACCAACGACCAATAGTTGACCATATTATGGAGTCGGTGTGAAGTGTGTATCAGGACAATTACCCCCTGGGCAATCACCCCCCCCCCCCCGAGGACAATTACCCCCCGGAAAATTACCCCCGGGAAAATTAACTCCCGAGGAAAACTACCCCCCAAGGACAACTACCCCCGATGAAAATTACCCCCCGAGGACAACTACCCCTAGGACAATTACCCCCAGAGGACAACTAACCCCGAGGACACCTACCCCCGAGGACAACTACCCCGAGGACAATTACCCCCGAGGACAACTACCCCCGAGGAAATCTACCCTCTAGGACAATTACCCCCCCCCCCCCCACCCCAGGAGTACCCCCCAAATGACAATGACCCCTGAGGAATTTGTAACACTGTGACGTATAATGCCAGAAAATTACATGAACTTTTATTTTCTTAGTTGTTTATGAAGTTCATTTCAGTCTTTTCAAATTATTCAAATCGATGAGAGGGGGGGGGGGGGGGGGGCTTGCCCAATTTCCCCGTAGTTTTGCCACAGAATAAAGAACAGAAATTACATTTCTTAGAAATTTAACAATACATTGCGCGCAGATGAGTACGCGTTACAGCGTCTCTCACCAACAATTGGCACAACAAATAAATTAGGACGTCAGATTTCATGTATGCATCCTCTGTAACATTTTTAATCAACTGATCGTGTATTTGTCTTTGTATGTTTATTGGGCCCTTATCCATGATCCAAAATTAAGGTTTTCTTCACGTTATCTATACATATCTCTGTTGACATGCTGGAGAATAATATGTTTTCTTGTACGATAAATTATTTTGAAACAGAAATCGCCTTCAAGTTATATTTACGGTGCCATGTTAAAATAAAAAAAAATAGCCGCCCTCTGTTAACTCATCTTATTTGATTTTATAACTCCAGCTCAGCGTTTTTCAACCAAGGTGCCGCAAGAGAATGTTAATTCCATTTGGAAACGTAAATTTTGTGATGTATGTAATGACATGAGAAAATAACATGCTAAAGATAATATAGTGTTTTTCTTCCTTGCTCGCTGACAATATTTTGACAGCAAGGCACCCAAATATATATTATATTTTTTTTTTCTCGAGATAACATTGTTACCACACTCATTACCTTTAAAAACATGATAAATAAGGGTAACGAGAGGCCCGAATATCCCCATATTCGTGTATCAAGGTCAAGACCGAATATCTCGCTTTTTATTCATGTACATTTGGCGGCAAGGTTCCCGCATACAAACATTTATCTACATTTGCCACTCTCCACTCGGGTTTTAAATGGGTACCCGGTAGCGATTTTTTTTTTCCCAAACAGGTTTACCTATGAGAGTAAAATCCTGCCTCCTGATTGGTTCAGAGGTATACGCGTCATGAATATTCACGAGCTGAGTTCACAGCACTGTGGCTGAGCTGCAGTACCTAGTATATGTATTACGCATGCGCGTGGACTTCAGTTTTGCTGGCCATTTAGGTGTACAAAATGTATGTGAGCTAGCTGTGGTGCGAGGGGATTTTTATTGGGGGAAGGGGGGGGGGGTCTGTTTGTTTTTGAACATTTCTGGTTATTCTGGTGCTTGGTTTATATAGTTTTACACTGAGGATTTTTTTTCTCAAAGAGTTCACTTACAGTACACACACTAATATTCCAATTTCACACATAGGCTATACATACAAACACTATCTTTCTCTCTCTCTCTCTCTTTCTCTCTCTCGCTCTCTCTCTCTCTCTCTATAAACACACACACCCACCCACCCTCATGTATTTACAAACACATAAGCAACAAATGCACACACTAGCTGTCAAGAATACACAATAGACACACACAAGGGGTATGAATTATCTTATCAGGATGGTCCGACATGAGATGGTTGGATGTGGGTCAAAGCCACTGTGTTGCTCCGAGCATGATATCTTGACAAACATTTAATATTATCACCCGTAACTGAAACCAACACACAATTAATATCACGGTATTAGTCTCTTTTTTGTTCCACCAAGCTAATTTTTGCACCTTGCACAAATGCACTTCTCAACATGAAATATTTCACTAAATTTGTTTTGTTATTTTCACTCCAAATTAATTCAGCCATGCTCACTTTTAATCACTTCACTTATATCTTATTTAACATTGAATACAATGCAGTTGCATGGGTTGTTCTTTTATTTTGTTAACTCGGCAGAGGCCACGGTCATGTTCAAGCATTTACGCTTACGACATGTGGTCTCCTGCTTTTTCCTTTTGTATGAAACTTTTATTTTAACTAGAAACAAATTTTGTCAAACTTACATGTTATTCATTATATTTATTTGTATGTTTCTTTGTATTGATATGAAAAAGTGGAAATAAAACAAAACAAACAAACATATCAGTGGTTCTGGTTCCTTTGTGACAGATGAACCTGGCCAAAGAAAACAAAGGACATAAAGTAATATATACAGGCTCTACACACATGTCAAAGACAAGCTTTTATTATTAATATGCATACCAAGTGCACATTACACTGATTCATCTCTTATTTAAACATGAATATCTGACTAAGTCCTTTTCAATCTTTATATCTTCAAACTTCTTTTCTCAAGATTATCTTACTTAAATCAGAATTAAAACAATATTTAAAGGACATCCATTTCATTGCATTAATTTGAGCTTTCAACAATAAATACAAACAGCAGGTTCATAACCTTTGACCTACTTTCATGAATTTAAACTTGATATGACATGCACAGGATATGATTTTACATTTTCTGTTATTAAGATACAATCCCCACACACATTTATTTCACTGCCTCTGTCAACTAAATTTGAGACTCCATGTAAATTATATTGCATGCATGTGTCACTGCTTTTGAGACTAATTCAGAATACATAATAACATAACCTACTGACACTATATACTGACAATTTCAAAGCATTAAAATAAAAATGGGATGGGCCGATTTACAATTTCACAATAATATTGTGGTACTTACATAAAGACTTGTATGGTTCTTGCAGAAGAAATCGGTATTCTCTTCTTTAGAGCGACCAAAATTGCAGAGAGTTGTACTTGTAGACTCCGCCATAATACTATAGCTCATGTAAAAGTTATAACTTAGAGCCAATCACTGCGCATGCATATCCATGCATGCAGTGTATAGCCTACGTACTATAGCTGCGCTGCATCAACGAACTCAAACCATAGACGTAATACAAATTACGTCTATGCTCAAACTTGGATTTCGATGAGCTGCATGAGCAGCTTCGCCTGGTGTCACGCGCATGCGTAATACTACTAGTATCTTTCAGCTCAGTCATGAATATTCATGATGCGTATACCTCTGAACCAATCAGGAGGCAGGATTATACTCTCGTAGGTAAACCTGTTTGGGAAAAAAAAATTCGCTACCCGGTAGGATGCGAAAATTAGTGTGGTTGCAAAATGTGCATACATTGTGTGCGAGTAAGCATGAATACGATGACCGGGGTAATAATATATCTCTGTAAAGCGCATTGAGAGGGCCTGCCGTCCTGAAATGCGCTATATAAGGACGAATTATTTTTATTATTATTATTTAAATCGTTTCTAGTGTGTTGATTACAAACTAATTTTTAACAAGTTTCAAAATGTCTTTTCCTTTTTTTTAATATTCTCAAATGTGCCCATACGTATGTACATATCACTGGACGGGTTCCAGAGTCTGAGTCCAACAGGGGTAGCTGTCCTCGGGGGTAATTGTCCTCGGGGGGGGGGCGGGTATAGTCGTCCCCGGGGAAGGTAATTCTCCGGGGAGGGGGTAATTGTATCGGGGGGGGGGGTAATTTTCCTCGGGGGTAGTTTTTCTTGGGAATAGTTGTCTTCGCTTCGGAGGTAATTGTCCTCGGTGGGGGGGGGGGGGTAGTTGTCCTCGGAGGTAATTGTCCTCGGGGGGTAATTGTCCTTGGGGGGTAGTTACCCTCGGGGGTTAATTTTCTGGGGGTGATTGTGATTGTCCTAGAACCCAAGTCGCAATGTGGGGGAATTGTGGTGTAAACGTGGCTCGATATTCTGTCGCAATAAACAGATGTTCCCTTCTATATCTCTCTCAACAAGCATCACGTCTATTGATTATTAATATTCCCATTATCGATTCCAAAGTAAAATAGACATAGTTGTCATAACAACCAAACAATACATCCTAAGTCAACATTGTTATCTGTCCCCTTTGCGATAACTTCTACAAACAGGTTCGCTGAGGGATATCATCAACCGGGGGGGGGGGGATCAAGTTTTTGAGACATCGAATGTTTTCAAAGGTTGTTAAGTACCAACGTGTTCAGTGTACTTCATTACCCCAAAATCAACCTACTGATAACAAAAATGGCCGCCATTTAAACCAATACTGACGGATTTTTAATATCACTTTTTAATAAAACCTCATTTTACCATTTCATGAGGTGTCAAATGAGAGAAGTAAAACTTCGTACAAGATAATGCCTTATGTTATAGGTTTGGAGATAACATTAACATTATTTTGCCATAACCATATATTTCCCCATGTTCCAAAAATAATAGTCACTAATGCAGAGGCGTCGCCCCGGTGAGAGGAGGGGAGGGGGAACTACTAGGGGTAAAGTGCCCCCATACTTTAGAATAAGCCTCAAGTGCCACTTTTTATTCTAAGAAAAGTGCCTCTTATCCCTATTTTGTAAAAAGCGTCCCTTTCCCTTCCTTATAAATGACCCTTTTTCACCTCTGATAAATGACTTTTTGGGTAAGAGCAATGCCACTTTTTTGTTCTGGGAAATGCTCCTTTTACTTTGACAGTTGTCTCTGTTGCCCGTCTCCCTTCTGATTAGTGGCCATTTTTCCTTTTTACTAAGTGCCCTTAATTAACATTGCACAATAAGTGACTCTTTCAAAGTTTCAAATAATGATAAGTTCCCCTCGTTACTTTTGATATAATTGCCCTTTGGTTTAATTAAAAAAAATACGCCCTATTACTTTGTGTAGTAACAGGAATATTTTCTACAAACAAGTAAAAGGCAGTGGAGCCGGTGACAGAGGCAAAATAACCCACATTTCATGAGAACGAACTGTGCCCGTATTAGAAATATAATCGTGCTCTCTAAAAGGGATCTTCCGACCTATCCTCTTTTAAACCTAATGCTCTTCTGAACTTTATAGAAAAGGTCAGAAAATTAAGTGCCCTTCGTTAAATAATGTTCAGGTAAATACATTGCCAGAGCTTTTTAAATAATGAGAGCTGCATTAACAACACCAAATGTCATTTATGTTGAAAGAATGATACACGATTACTGTACGTGTTACGATGAAATGATCTTATCACCCCACATCTCCCCAGAAACAATATATTTTGTCATAACCATCCTAATAACTGGCCCTAATTTAATGCGACTGGGGGCAATCTTTTTCTCAAATGTACCCCCAAAGCCCGCACGCTTCGCTCGCGCACATTTATAAATAAAGTAATGAATTGAAGATTTATATTCATTCTTTCATTGTGCCTCATCAGCATCCGGGTCATCTAAGAAAGAGAACAATATCGGTCGTAATGGCACCTTAAAAATCGTTGAAATTTTATAAATAAATCAATTAAAATAATTAACTATCATCATTATTATTATGATTAGTATTGATATTGATGTTAGTATTATAATAATTCGCCCTTATTCTTATCATTTTCAGGTCTGTTTTTCCCATTTGGATTGAATGAAGGGGATGAATTCCTACCCGCCAACGATGACGGTTCCACAGAAGAGCTACCAATTTCCGTCGCCTTTCCTTTCTTCGATCACGACCACACCAGTCTTTTTGTAAGTCCCTCGTAGCTTATCGGAACACAAAACTTAGTTGTACTCGTCCGTTATGTGACATCAAGTTTGTAAACGTTTATCAAACATAGGATGTTATGACATATTTTTTGGAATAAATAAAGTAAATTTGTATTGATCATCTTTCGATGTTCTATGTACAGAGTGAGTCAGAAAAAAATGTCCCACTTTTTAAAAGTTGTATAGTTTGAAGTATGAATATTTAATCATGGGTTTCATCATGATATGTCTTGATAGAGTTACCCCCCAGTACATTTAGGTACCATTTTCATTTGAATCTCTGCATGCATGACTGAACATCAGACAATCTTTTCAAGACTGCCAGATCTCATTTGCGCCAAGTTATTGGGTAGAATAAAACAACTTTCTCTATCTGTTTCCCATTTGTTTTCGTGTTTGTACTTTCATTCCCATTCTCTCTGTAATATCACCAGCCCCCCCCCCCCTCTTTTACACTTAATTTTATTACCAATCGCTTACATATAAATGTTGATGCAGGTCAACAATAACGGTGTCATCTCGTTCTTGGCGGGAGTTAGTCAATATACCTCCGTACCGTTTCCACTCGCTGATGGCCGACGACTTTTGACCCCATTCTGGGCTGATATCGACACGCGTAATGGCGGGACTCTATCCTATCGACAGGTCTTACGATTCGCCCAAAACGACGGCATGTTCCTCGAAGCCGATGGAATTATACGAGCATCATTTGTTGAAATGAGAGACTTTATGTCGTCATGGATGTACATCGCGACCTGGGACAGAGTGGCTTTCTTCGGTGCTTCTGATACCTCCATCGTAAGTACACTGTTTTTCAGTTCAGTTTAGTTTAGTTCATTTTATTCAAAACCACACAAAGCATGATATAATCTGTTACATAAAAAAGAGACTGGTAATAGTACATCAATCAACATATTCTAAATTGATTACATCATAAACTGAATGATTTTAGGACCCCTTTAGAAGCTAAGCTTGTGAGCGGGGCCCTATAGATACATACATTTACAGTAAAAAGAATGTTACGTATGATTATACAATGGATGAAAATACTAAGCTACATAATATAGTACATACAAATACTCTATTACATACACACACACACACGCACATACAAACCCACACACACGTACACACAGGCCTATACACAGCAGGCACACTGACGAGTAGGTCCTTAGTGGTCAAAAAGCATTTCAGAATAAGAAATTACTAAGATGCAAATAAAAATAAATGTCAGTCTTTCAAGTAGGTACGTTTTAGATAACCTTCTAAACCTAGAAAGAGTTGTACTATTTTGTTTATGTCATCTGGGAGACTGTTCCATTCTTTAATGCGAGAGATATGAAAAGAGGTTTTTCGCCGCTTCCCTATTCATTTATCATTTGTCGCCACCTTAACATGGCTTTCAGGAACTGTTTCATGTTAAGGTAATATAATTTATCCAAACAAGTGCCCTGACTACTTTAAATGAGAACATTTTCTAAACCACTAACCCCAGCATGCATGCTACGGGGTCTTGCAATTACTAGATGACATTCTACCATTTTGAAAGTATAGTGTCGGCCAATTTGCATACACGATAAAGGAATTACATCAGGTATTTGAGCCTAATGCAAACCTCCTAGAAACCATCCAAATGTCATCTTTGAAAATGTGTAAAACACTTCTTGACTAGTAATGCGATTTGGCTCGTAAAGTAACGTTTATATCAATTGTTTTTTTGTTTTTTTTTAAATTGGTCCGTTCATATTTTCCACTATTCAAAAGTATTTAAATTTGCGGGTCACTTTCATTCACCCGTTTTACCCGTTTTGTTGTATGGATTTATTCATTAAACAAAACCGTTTCATATTAATATCATAATATAGGTTTTGATAACATGTTTGTATCATTGTTCAGAGAAATTCCTTTCAAGCTGTGATGGTGACGGATGGTCGCTATTCCTTCGCCATCTTTAATTACGGTGATATCAACTGGACAACGGGAACTGCCAGTGGTGGTGATAGTGGTACTGGTCTTGGTGGAACCCCCGCTCAGGTAAATTATTACATCGTTTGGGTCGAAGCTCCCTCTTCTTATAAAAGTGATACACGCTTATAAATGCGGTAACGAGCTCATGTATTACAGTAGCCCCTCCCATTTATATACATCATCCAGTCACATCGCCAAACCTACTCCAAGCCGATTGAGTTCAGAATGTCCAATTCTCAACCATTCGGTGTAATGTAATTTTTGGTAGGGTCTGTTGTCATTTTGGTGTTGGTCATTTCGGTTGAGACTGTAATACTCTGGTCTTAATTTCGGAGGATCTTTTGGTTCAGTGCCTTATCGTTCTATTGTAGTGACTTGGACTTAGAAGAACTTTGCATTGGTAAATATTAGTATTTCATTCAATTGTCGCTCATTTCTTTAGTGACACCTGTTACAATATTAGAGTGCCACCCATAAATTCTCTGGCAATCACATTCTAAACCTTATTGTACTGGGATGTGCAGTTATTCTGACAAGCACATTTCACACCCAATTGTTTGTAATCGTTAACTCGAACTCCACTTTGTAATAAGGAGGAGTTTCACACAACAAGAGGAGAATGTAAAAGCTACTGTAGATCTCGATCCATAATATGAAAAAGATGCTGGATTCGTCTGGTCTATTTCTATCTAGCTCAACGTCAAAAATATATCAATCAAGTATCGCATCAACTAATAAATCGGTAAAAGAACTCTCAAGACTTTTACTCTTTAAAAAAACATCAACACTGGACAAAGCAATAAGACATGGAATGAGACGAATAAAGGAATTACTTAATCCCGTCTCAAGTTACATGTGTTCAGACTTATTGCTTCAAAGGTCACATGTTTGCCTCTTAGGTTGGATTCAACGCTGGTGACGGAGTGACCTCTTATAGTGTCCCTGGATCTCAGACAGCGGTCGTCGTCGATATCGAAACGACATCGAACATCGGTGTACCCGGAAGATGGGTGTTTAGAACGGACAACTCAAACATTGAAGGACTAGAATGTACCACCTCTGGTATGTAAACAATTACTATTCTCGCACTTGTTGTTGCAACCATCAGCATCATCATCATCAGCATTTTCCCTCCAAAAAGAGGTTACCGACTTTCGGGTCTTGATGGCACTCCTTCTCTCCTCTTCTTCTTGTCTCGAGCATACTTCCTCTGTGGACCAACCGTACTGCTTTCTGTCTTCATCATTTCTTTCCAAGAAATCTTCGGTCTTCCTTCTCCTCTCATGCCATCTACTTCCAGATCCCACACTCTTTTCACAGGCTCCTCGTCCTCTTCTCTCAACTCATGACCCATGCATCTCAATCCACTCTTCTGTACCCCTTCTACCACATTTTCTCCCTGACTCAACCATTCTATGAACTCAATTGTGTCCTTTTTATCGGACGGCTTCACACCAGACCTCAATACATTGTTAAGAGTTAGATATGATTCACGTGTTTCTTTTCATAAAAACATGTCCTATTCCCTTCGATATATTCTGTGTATTCTGTGATACTTCTGCCTCGTCAATTTTTTTTAAATTTTGAATAATCAGGATCTGTTAACGTATCATAAAATGGGTAAAAATAAACCACTTTCCTTCGGTCAATTAGAATGTACCGAAAATATTTTTTTCATCCATCTTTTCATTAATAATTCACAACCTGGTGCATAGACGAATGCATTTGTGTAGGAGAACGTGCGTGCGTGAGTGAGTGTGTGTGGCTTTCCGGCGTGAACTTCTTTAATGCATTGCGAGAGAGAGCCTACATATGAATACCGAAGTGCGTAATATTAATATGCCACGCCCTTGTTTATTCCACTTTGTTTACCACAGGTTTGTTTTCGTTCTAACAGGTGCAATTTCCCTGTTCCCATTGGTCGGTTCAATGCTTGGTGGAACTCAGGTTCTTATCAACGGACCATGCTTCAATTCAACCAACCTGATTATCTGTGACTTCGACGGAATCGAGACTTCTGGAAGGCTTCTGGAAGACGAGATCGCCCTGTGCGTTTCGCCGACTTTCTATAAAGTTGGACGGATTCCCCTGCGCGTGTCTCTAGACGATGGAGTCACGTTCGATTTTACAGGATTTTTCACAATTAGTACGCTCATATAAACATCGTCTTTCATTTGAAGCTATAACCATCTACACATTATTCAGATTGAGATTATTTTATTGTAAGCATGTAGATAATAAAAAGAAGGGCTACAGCATAGACATACAGTGCTTTGATTGGAGGTTGGGAGTAGAGAGTGACTTGAGCAGAAGCATGACAGATAAATAGGTTGCTTCGTTATCATGTTTATGTAACTGGGCATCGTTCACGAAAATGTCGGAAGTCCAAGTTCGCCGACATCCCATTGAAACGCGGGTTCATTGTAATACACACTGTAGACGCTTCAAAAGGATGTCGACGAACTCGTATTTCTGACAATTTTGTGAAACCATGCCCAGATTATCTAAACGATGAACTTTTCTTTTTGCCCACTAGTCAGTGTCGAGGACGTTCCTGACAATGTATTTTCCTCGGTAACGGAAAGCCACCAAAGAGAGTCCAACTTCGAGATCACATGGAACACAGATGCCCTCGAAAGCGTGGACGAGGTTGACATCGTTGTCTACGGCTACCAAGAAGACAATGACGTGGAGTTTAGTGGACCTCTGATCATAGTGGCACAAAGTATTAACTACCATCTCGGTCACTACAGCGTTTCAGGGTTACCTGCCATTGAGATCCATTTCGACGTCGGTGTTATTGGCGTCCTGGAATCTGGAGGTCAAGCGGAGGAGTAAGAATGAAAGCAAATGTGTGATATTGCACCTAAAATGTAGTCTGAGTTCATCTATCGTTCTTGATGATTAATATAAATAATTAAATATTCATAGATTCTTTTGAGTCCGACGAACCATTGTCCCAGAGGTGATCTTTGGGCTGATCACGAGGGAAGATTGTATAGTACCTTACATGCCTGAGATCACTTAGGCGATGATAGTTTACACATTAATAAAAGAAGGCTGTAATTCGCTTTGTATCCCACATAGGCAATACTGGTAGGTCCAGTATAATTTGACTTATCCAAATTTATTTTAATAATTTTCCCACAATGTTCTGCTTGCACCTTGATGAGCATAAGCGCTTCGCATTGAACTACGTCACAAGGCTGATTGAGCCGGTATGTCTAGATCCATGACATCAGCTCAGTATTAAAATAACTTTTACATACATGTAAACAATAGTTTTTACCATCATGCAAAGAATATGCCATGCATATATTGTCATGTTACCTTATGTAGACCAATAGTGTTGATGTGTTCTTGGTATATGCCATTCGAGCAATGTCTAAATGTATTTCCTTAGTAACCTATTCTTTATTTTCTTATTTTCTTTTAGTTCTACACATGCTGCCCTCTGGAGCAAGGTCCATGTTCTACAGTGGCACAACGGCGATGACGTAACATTTTGGTGCAATGATTGGATTGGAAAAGAAATTCGGTCTGATCTTTCCTTTCTGTCCGCCACACACCCGTGCCCATGTACACTTGACCAGGCCCAAATCGACATAGGGAGGTTTAGTCCGCATCCGCTGTGTGATATTGACATTTTGTCGCCTAGCAACTGCATCCATAAACCTGGAGCAATACACTGCGTACGAGCCGACTCACCGAGGTATTTTATTTTACTCACTTATGTGGAAGAGCTACATGTAGCTTCTCAAAACTCTATTGGAAGTTTAGGAAACCCGTCAAGCTAAACCAAATAACCTTGAAGTCCACGTACTACCGACCAGTCTTTTAACCTCTGGTTGAGAGGTTGGGACGTCAATAATATAATCCATATTGGAATTATTCCATTTTCATACAATTTTCATTTTAAAATATTAATTTGGTTCATAAAAAATACAATAGGACGTGTCTTAAAGCTTAGAAGATAGATGTCTTTTGAAAAAGTGTAATAGTCAACTTTCGCTTTGTTTTTTCAGCTCGCTAGGAGGGGGACAAGAGTGCTGCTATGGGTTTGATGGAATGATCATCAATGTATTTGATAATCTGGGAGGGGGCTACAGTCATCGATACCACCATGGGGGCATCGTCCCATATGGAGAACCTCATAAGGTATGATCCTTTTCGTATAATTATGTATTTGGTGTTGCTTTTTTTTTTAACAAACAGAAGAAGAAAGGGAGAGTGGTGTGCATGGTAAAGTAGAAAAAAGTCAACCACACACACCTACGGATGATCGGATTTCAAGAAAATATGCAACCATGCAACAAATAGTAACCCTCCGTGCAACAATAAATTAGTTTACAAATTTCCGCACTTAGGATTTTATCGGGTAATGATTTTATTTTACTTTGAGAATTATTATGCGTCAAAATATGTGCATCCCTTCCCCATTAGATGCGCAAAGGGGCCGACAGAGATGACTCGAAAAGCTACGATTTAAAAAAGATTAGAAGGTAGAGAGAGACGTGGGATAGAGGTAAGACGTAATAATACGTCATAAAGAAACCAAATAAAGACATGAAAGGAAAGCAGAATTGAGAGGACGTGGTTAAACACGTCAATAAAATGTGAAGAAAACATACAGAGAGAGAGAGAGAGAGAGAGTCGGAAAGAGAGAGGTGAGGGCAGAAAGAAAGAGAGAGAGAGAGAGAAAGCGAAGATATAACACAAAAAGTAGGCACTGGGAAATGAATGGAAATTACAAAGGTGATTTGTTTTTCCTGGAGCTTCACTTGATCATCTGCACTACCGTATATAGCACCTAACGACTCCACACATATCGATACATACATACATATACATCTGAAACAAATTACCTCAACAAAAGTTTTAATAAATCGTAGACAAAAAATACAATGCGAAAGGAAGAAAGCGGTAGCCGCCCGGGCATCGACCTAATCGAGCGTTTACCGTCGAGCGATTTAAGTCACAAAACGAAGCCGCTAGGTCAAAGGCGGCCGCGCGGTTGCCGCCCGTTCGCCGCTGAGAGATTAGTCGGTCACTGGGCGGCGATTTCAAAATCGGTCGGCAGTCTTTGACCTACCGGCTTCGGTTGTTGACCTAAATCGCTCGACGGCGAACGCTCAATTAGGTCGGTGCTCGGGGGCGACCGCCCGGGCACCGAACGTATGTTGGTGCTCCGCCGATTACCGACTGTCCGCCGGGCAATTTCTTTAAAATCAGCCGGCGGCAGGTGGGAGACCGTCCGGGAATCGGGGAGTCATCAGTCGGTCACTGCCGGGAAGCCGCGCGGATAAGCTCCCCGATTTCGCCCATTTTTTTTTGGTTTACCTCAAATAGACCGGCGACCAAAGGGAAATCGACAGGGCACCTTTTTTGCTTTGGTCACAAACCCCAAAGGTAGCCTTGTTGGCAGCCGGACGGCGAGTTCAAAATCGGACGGCAGCTTTTGACCTAAAATCGACCGTCGATCGACGGGAAATCGACAGGGCACCGCCCAGGCATCGCTCGAGCTCTACAGTCTGCTCGACTTCTCTAAACATCGTTGGGCGATGCCTAAATTCCAGCGGCGACCGAGCAGGCTACAAATCGGTCGTTTGCCGGTCTGAGTTTTTTTTTTTTTTTTTTATTATTTTATTTGGCAGAAAACACATGATATCAAAATACAGAGTTGAAAATAAACAATTAATAGCAAATCACACACAAAAAAGGAACACTGGGTGCACCCGGCTGTGCTGCCAGGCATTGGGCAAAGTTAACCAAATAACTATAGTCCGCAGACCGCCCTCACCTATATCCAACCAGATGCAACCAGCGTTGCAGATTTATGTGACAAAGACAATATAAGAGATACATGTATGTACCACAATTAAAATGCATCAAGACAAAAACTTCAAATTTTTCCAGGGCTGCATCACACGCCGGAGACTCATGACCACACCAGCAGAAAAAAGTGGCACAAAATGATTATGAGGGGAAATTTCGTATCCGTAGTGTGATTCAACCCTAGAAAATCATATAAACCTATACATACATTAAACATAATACATGTATTAAAAAACATGCAAAATGTGACATTACAACAGAGATAATATTGCACAGATAAAGTAAATGCATATACGTGTAATTGAAGGATAATTGCACGAAAGTTGAAAGAACCAACTCAGTCGAGGTTAAAATCACTGAATAGTGAATATACATGTAGAGAAATAAGGTGATAAAGGTCATTCAATAATCTATTTACCAAGTGAAGAGTAAATTATTAAGTTCAGTTGAAATCTATGGAAAATAAGTATTAACAATATGAGTAAAAATGTTGTGGCATGTTGGCAGGCCAGCTTATTAAAATATACATGTATAACTACAAAACATTCTTCTAAAAATTATATTGCACTGCTAAGCTAAATATCTGAGATTTCATAATAGTATTGGAAATTTAAGTAATGACCCAACTGAGAGTGAACATTCAAATTTAATGGTGCCTTTAAAATAACATTTTACTTTACCCCTACAGAAATATTAATGTATATATATAGATAAATACGATTAACTGGAATTACTTATTAAAATTCAGATAAATTGCATAAAAATATAAACCAAACATTGTCATATTAAACTCAAGGTGCATCGACAAGATGGGATTTTAAGTGACTGCACCATGTGGAAAAAGACACAGTAAGGACCGAGTTCCTGAGGTCAGAAGGTAGAGTGTCCCACAGCCTAGGGAACTCATGTATTGCACTGAAATGCAGTCCATCTTTGCGTGCAAAGAGATGCCTGAACTTCAGGTCTTCCAAATGACGTGGGTTCACTACAACGAGAGAGTTCACAACAGGGCATTGGATGTGTTTGAACAGACACTTAGTAATGAAGGCCATTGTACAGTACGTCCTTCTCATCTTGAGAGATTTCCAATTCAGCATTTGTAGGCGTTCCTCATAGGGCATTTGGCCTCGCCGTTGCTTCAAGGCAAGACGTGTTGCCCTGCGCTGTATGGACTCAAGTCTGTTGATCGATCCTACTTTGTGCGGTGTCCAGACAGGAAGACCATATTCCAGGATTGGGAGGACCAGACTCTTGTACAAGCTGAACACAGCCACTGATGAAAGACCCATGGCTAGGCTGGTTATCAGTCCAAGTAAGCGATTTGCTCGAGAGACGACATACGCAACATGGCTATCCCAAGACATGCGATTGTTTACGATGACTCCCAAGTACTTGGTTTCAGTAACCACCTCCAGTTGCATATCATTCAGATAGTACTGCGGTTGGCCCGGTTGCCTTTTCCAGGATATTCTCATGACTTTGGTTTTGGAGGTATTCAGACTCATTTTGTTTCTGTCACACCAGTCCGCAAGAGCATTGACGTCATCTTGGAGCGCTTGCTGATCTATGGGGTCATAGATAGGTCGTGAAATAACAGTGTCATCTGCAAACAATGCACATTTCGATAAAACAACCTCAGGGAGGTCATTAATGAATAGGTTAAACAGGCATGGGCCTAGGACACTCCCTTGTGGAATACCCGAGGTAGGTGTTGACCACTCAGAGTAATGCCCTTTGTGTTGGACGCGTTGTAATCTGCCAGATAGAAATGCACGGATCCAGAACCAGATATCGCTTGAGATGCTATAGAGAGAAAGCTTCTGCAGAAGGACATCATGAGGCATACGATCAAAAGCTTTCGCGAAGTCGAAGAAAATCGCGTCAATAGAAGGGGGTCTACGCTTGTCCAGGTCCTGGAGCCAGGAGTGTGTCAAAGTCATTAGCTGGGTAACACATGACTTATGATGAACAAAACCATGTTGGAATGGAGTGAGGAGGCAATTTGATTCCATGTGGTCAGAGATCGCTCGTGAAATCAGAGACTCCATCAGCTTGATGACAATAGATGTTAATGCGACCGGGCGATAATTTGAAACAATTGATCGATCCCCAGCTTTGAACACTGGGACAATATTTGCAGATTTCCAACCTTCAGGTAGTGATCGTTGGCTGAGTGACATATCAAAAAGACGTTGCAGGATAGGAGATATCACATCCACTGATTTCTTGAGAAGAATGGGAGTGATTAAATCAGGGCCAGGACTTTTCTTGTCCTGTAACTGCATGATGCTCCTGTGAATTTCCTGAGTTGAAATTGAAATGGAATGGAGTTGAGGTAGTGGATGATCACATGTACTAGGACCATCGGGCAACACACATGGAGGAGGGTAGATTGACTGGAAGAATTCTCCAAAGCTGTTGGCTATGTCACTAGGCTTATTAATGACTGCCCCACCTATGAGTAGAACTGGAGGAGATGTACTCTTCTTCCTAGATCTGACATACGCAAAGAAACGCTTCCTGTTGTCCGGGAGAGCGAAGAGCTTATTTACATACATCCAGTAGCTTGCATTAATTGCATTCTTTGTATCATTGCGAACAGCTTTGAACTTTTCCCAATCTTGTGGATCATTTGAACACTTTGCATGCTTAAACGAATTGTGCTTTTTGGTGATCAGCTTCTTTATTTCCTTCGTAATCCACGGTTTGGATTTTGTTGATTTACTAAGTTTCCGGGGAATCGCATCACGGGAGGCAGCATGAAAAATGTCAAGAAAACCTTCCCAACTGGCATTGATGTCACTGGCATCAAAAAAGAGATGCCAAGGAGCTAGCTCAAGGAGACGGTTAAAATGGTCAAAGTCAGCTGCCTTAATTAGAAGAAATTCACGTAGAGCATTCCTGCAAGCGTAAGGTTTCGGTGATCTCAGTTTGAAGAAAACAGAAAAATGGTCGCTACACACAGGGTTTGGCTCAGTAGAAACAGATTCCAATAAATCTGGACGATTTGAGTAAAGATGGTCAATAATGGAGCCTATTGTAGGGTCACGAGAGGATGGCCGCGTGAAGGAAGATACCTCCTGCAATAAATCCACCGCTTCCAGCATAGACAGCAATCTGGTAGCATCAGCGTTACGATCAGAGACATCGATGTTGAAGTCCCCTGTGAGTAAGATTCCCCTGTAACTCGATGAAACAGACTGAATCTGGTCAATGTTGTCCTGAAGGCGGCCCCAAAAATCTGCCAGGTTGTTAGGAGGCCGATATAGGGTTGCAACAATCCATTTGGAGCCATTGATAGATATCTCAGCTGCAACATTCTCCAACTCAGGGTGCTGGAGTTGGAATAACTGTCGTGGGCACAAAGACGATTTGAGGCACAGGAGTACCCCACCACCAATGTTTCCGGTACGCTGATGATTGACTGGTTGTTCCCGATCCCGTCGGAAAATAACATAATCATTTGGTATGGCAAGTTCAGAATTCTCACAGCTGGAATCAAGCCATGTTTCAGTAATACTGATAATATCAGGTTGTTTACAATCAATGTATGCCTCTAGATCAGCAATTTTACGTCGGATGCTACGAGCATTGAACGATACTCCAGTGATACACTTGTTGGAGTTCATTAAAAATGAGCTGTGCGATTCAGCAATTAGAAGGAGTAAGCAGAGGGCACACAGCTGATAAAAGAGTCCCATACTTGACTGGAATCCGCATTTCCACTTAAAATATTCCACTTTAGCACAGGCCTATTGTTACATATTGAATACAGTTAGGCGGGTATAGCCACCTGCAAAACGGTTGTATAGAAGTACAATGCAGTGTAGGCCTACTTACACAGAAGTGGCTGAGCGGGGCTAGACACAAAATGTAGATGTTCTTTGGCCACAGTAAAAAGACCATTAAAATGTTACTAGAAGCAAGCATACCATATCAGTAGTTCCTCTTTCCTGTGATAATGTTCTTCAATGGATACGTTTCAACTTTCAAGCTCAAGAAGCCATGACATCAGATAGGTTTTGAATCAAACTTGTACCAGATAAACCCAGATAAACCTTAAAGCTACTTCCATAGCTTTAGAAGTAAACGCCAATGCGGATTTAATTGACTGATATATCGATAATCCTTCATCCATCGTTCATTAATTCCTTTGTTGGGGGCAGGTGATATTTTAGCAATGGCAGTCGGCATGCCCCAGCTTAATAATAGCGAATGATTTGAGATATATGTACAGTATAAGTTTGGATAATTGTAAAGAAATGTAAGGAAATATAAACCTACTCAACAGTTTTCAAAACCCAAGGAGAGTTGTCACAGATGTTGTATTAAAGAATGGCTTATTATTTCAACAAAAAATGTCTCAATGAATTACTTGCAAAAGAATATATCGACGAGAAAATCGACCTTTGTATCAGTCAGCGAGTTCTTTTTTTTTAATACTAATTTCCAACGAAAGAGAAAGTCAACAGCACCTGAAGGAGCGACTATGAGTTTTTTGTTATCGATTATAGTTTAACATTTCTTTTGTTTCTTTTCCCGCTTTACTCGTTCGTTATTCTGTGAAAGTTATGAATAATATCACATGAGTTCAATCAAATATTCAGGTTCCGTATCTGTCGCACTTCCTCGTCGACATCTTGCCGTGGACATACTGCTGTACATACGGTGGACCACATAATTCTGAGTGCAATATCTTTGGATTGCAACGGCCTTCTCAGACTTGCAACAACTATGTACCGCCTCCTCCAGGTATGCCTATTTCATCGACTTTGGAAAAGCTAATTGAACCTAAATAGGTTCTCCCAATTACCATTATTACCATTCAACCGCTATACATCGTCATGCATATTTGGAATTAAAATTTGTGTAACCATGTTAAGATATGACGCGGCAAGCTGCCACGTTTTTCTTTTAAACGAGTAAATAAATGGCAACTGCGCGCAAGGAACATGACAACCGCACCGTATCACGCTTTACCACTTCATATCTGAACGTCGATTATGTTACTTAATTACAAACAACGTTAAAATCACGATAGTTTCATGCCGACGAATATGAACAATGAAAATCACGAAATTGGTGACAAATGGTTCGAGTAGTGTATCTTATTCCCCCTCTCTCTCTCACACACACACACACACGCAGGCGCCCATCCAGTTTTTCGTGACACCAATGCACTTCATATTGTATGTTTGAGCGCAAAACTTTAAGTTCATGTTTAGTGACCTTCAATACATCAATTACTGCTTAGAAATTCACCCCTTACACCCTTCCAAGATCCTTTTCCATTTATTTTTATTTAAATGTTTTCTTCCATCCCTCCCCCTCCATCTATCCCTCCCTTCCTCTCTCTCTTTCTTTGTCACATCACAGCATTGGGCAATGGCGATCCACATATTTCAACTCTTGACTCGACCACGTACACCTTCAACGGTCATGGCGAATTTACTATGCTGAACGCACTGAATGGTACCTTCATCTTACAAGCAAGAGCGGCTCCTCTCGTTGGTAAAATACATCTTCCATTTATTTGTTTAGTCTTCCGTCTTCAGTTAAAGTTTAATTGTTACGTCGATTTTACATCGTTTTGCCTGAATGTGAGTTTAGTTAGATACAATAAGATTTTTATTCTTGAAACCCTATTACCAATTTTTTGACAGGCATTTAAAAAACAAGATCTTAGTTATTGTATTCTTCTTATCGTAGACTTCACTCTCAGAATATTGTTCTGAACGAGTTCTTGAAATTTACCACAGGTTCTTTAAGGATTCTTTCAACTACCCTGCGTGAGAGGTGCATTTAAGAACATCTTAAAGGTAATACAAAGTTTTGGTATTGGGTCGTGAATTTGGTTCAAATGAACAAATTGGAAGCATATGCGACCCTACAATATTCAGTGATCATCGTCGCGGTTGAAATCGAGTCTAAAGTTATGAAATTGTAAATAATAAACTCTTTATGTTGTATAGCTCCCTCTCAAGGTCAAGACATTAAATTAGTTTTTAAAACAATGTTTCTTGACTAAAATCGACCGATTAGCTATTCCCGTTTGGAAATTATATATCACAACTACATATTCTGAGATTTTCATGGTCGCAGCTACCATCGTAGGGCCGTAGACGCTAATTGAAATGTATATCAACATTTACCGGGAGCACCGGTAAATTTTTATATTCAATTTTTCTCGAAAGCAGAAGTGTTTTAGGGGCTAAATTTTCTACTGCTTATATTACATCCACAGAGGTATCCAAATACATCAAAATTGTAAAGAATCACTATCCACCCATTTCTAAAATTTCCCAAAACTTTGTATTACCTTCAATGTTATAACATTGAAAAGATGTTCTTAATTGAACCATCTTCAATAGGTTCTTTAAGAGCCATATTACAAACGTTACTCGGAAGAACTCTTTTGGGTTCTAAAAATGAGACAAGATGAGGAACCCAACCCGTTTTTGTTGTTGACCATTTTTGTTTAAAGAGTGGAAACACTTCAGTCTATGCTAAATGATGAAAATAATGCCAGATCATTCATCCTGTTCAAAATAAAAATAAAAAAGTCACTGGTTATCTTTCTGAAATGTCTGTACACTTACACATCATTCTATAGGAAAATTCATATTTCTTTCAGGGGAAGATTTTGGGAAGGTTCATATGAAAAACTCCTTCACACTGTATCTTCCGCTATAGGAGTTACTAATGCAACTGTGTTTGTTGCCATGGCAGCACGATATGGTGATAGTGACGTAATTCATGTTCAAACGAATGAACGCAGGGTTCTTGATGCGTATGTCCGACTAGCCGAGGATGGACAAAACTTCACAAGGATTGACTTTGATCAGGCTTCTCGATGGTCATATTCAGGTATTAGAAGAAAAAAAGAAACAATTTCCCTCCCGTTTATGAATCATAACACGTCTATAAACAAAACTGTTTTTGTTTACGTCATGCGGTAAGAATTGTATGGATTATATTATTTACCCCCCCCCCCCCCCCGAAGTTTTACCTTCTTCTCCTATCAATAAGATGCTGAGAAAGCAGTTTATTATCTGTATTAGGAAGGCGACCAGGAGACCTAAGTCAGTTCAACAATCGAAAGACTTAAATACATTTTCGAGTAACCTGGTATTGAGGAATATCCCACCGCTGGAAATTATGATGTAGTTTCGATGCAAGAAACTCCGAGCTTTATAATCACTGTTTTTGACATATATTTTTTTATTTTGATACCAATCGTTTGATGTTTACAACAGGTACATATGTATTTTAAATAATTGAGTTCTTATGCATACATCATTTTGCTTCTGTTCGCTTTAATAGGGGTCTCGGTAACTGGTCGCAACATTACCTCAGATGGAATCATTGTAGTTTTCAACGGAGGGGTAGGACTGACGTTGAAAGCATCAGAGGGAGCCATGAGCATTCTTCTTGTAGCTCCAGACTCCTTCAGAGGTCAGACGCAAGGCCTGATGGGAACGTGGAACGGTAATACCAGCGACGATTTCCTCACTCCTCAGGGATCTTTGCTCTCACCTAATTTGACTACTGAGCAGTTGCACAACCAGTTCGGTCTACTATGTAAGATCATATTTTGTGCTTCCAATATTTTTCTCTCACTTTATATCAATTTTGTCTACAATTATATTTCCTTCATTTTGACTTCGAAGTGCTATTGACAATACTCATCATTCACCTAAACAATCAAAATATGAGGGAATTCAAGATAAAGTTAAATCCTGGTCATAGTATTACATTTTCAAATGTTACACATTCGGAAAAACTTGATTATTTAGTATAGATTTATTGGTGTCTATTATATAATGTTTTAGAATCATCAAACTTACAAGAAATCCACTCAATCTTGCTGACATCACATGCATTGCGCACCTCAATGGGTTTTTAGGACTACACACACTTGTCACATTGACTGTTTGCTCGAGAAAAAAAGTCAGCCATTTCTGGTCATTTTACGATTGAGGGCATCTAATTAGCAGTCCCGTTTTAGTATGGACTCTTAATACTACATGTATGCTTTTCTCCCAAACTATCCTTTAAACAAGAATATAACAGACCACAAATTATGTTATCACCTTTTAAAGAACCTAGCCTCAATACTGATGGAGTCACCCTACAAAAAAAATACATAAATAAATAAATATACCTCGAGGATGCAAGACCAACCCCTCCCAAAATATTACAGGAATCTTTTATCCTGCATAGCGTCCTTGTTTCTCATCTTGAATACGTATAGCTGTCGCAGAGGAATAAATGTCCGCATTGTTGGTCACTCTCTTTTGCATCAATACAGGGGAAATCGATGCAGTAGAATCGTTGTTCTATTACGAACCGGGCAAGGACCACGAATCTCATACCGACCGCACTTACACTCCTGTCTTTGAGCCTGTCGCCAACCCTTCTGTCAACCAAAGCCTAGTGGTAGAGGTGTGCGGTACGAACCCGTTCTGTATCTTCGACTACCAGACAACGGGATCGCAGAGTTTTGCCCAGAATTCCGTGAAGTCCCTCGTGCAGTATCAGCAGGCAGTCGACAACAGAGTATCGTTCGGTATATTTAAAATTACATTCCACATACTAAGAATCTTGCTCTACGATTGGTCAAAAGTAAATCACCTGATGAAAGATAGTTTGCCTTTCACTGATGGGAGAAGAAAAGTTCGTTATACTGTGTAGATAGTAGTGCTATCTACACGGTGCAACGCACTTTCACTGAAGATATAATTACTATCTACACAGTGCAACGCACTTTAATTGTATACGTTGCGTATTACTCTCCTCTTTAAGTGCATTTGGTGTTAGTACGCAAACATTGGTCACGCGCATGGGTGTCGATACTGATAACTGATACCTATTCATCAGGGGGGGATGATCTATTCATTCATCCCCCCCCCCTGATGAATAGGTATTACGTAAGGATCGACACCCATGGTCACGCGCGAACTATATGGTCACACCACCATACTGCATGCACTATCGTACACCGTTTGCTAGCTGTTAATTGATGAATTGTTCTAAAATGACGGAAGAAGTTAAAAGTTTCCGATGTGGAATATAAAGCAAATAATCACCTTTTGGTTTCAGGCGATGGCAAACTATCACTATCACAGGCGATCTGAATGTATACGCTATCTTTCCTCAGCTTCGCTTCGGAGAGATAGCTACATCCACATCGCCTCGGAAGTGATAGTTTGTTCCATCACCTTCACCAACGGTAATTATTTGCTTAATATCATACCGCTTGCTCATAAAATCTCGTTCTATTACGCCAATCACATTCATCCGTCGGCATAAAATATCAACAGAACACGTCAGAGCCTCTAGCACAGACGCAACTCCATGACGCAAGGTTATGACAACCTAGCGCAAGATTGCGTCTCTGTTATGCCGCGCGATGCGCATGAGGCGTTATGTCCATTTCGTTATTACCTGCGCTAACTAAGTCTTTGAAAGTAAATAGGAATTCACCAGTAGTTCAAGGCAGAGTTAGAACTATTCATTTCGCATTCCCTTTGGTTATGATTTCACTTTCACATAGCATATCACGGACTGTTCGGTCACTGACGCTTTCTTCCGTGAGCAAACTAACATCTCGTATGCAACGGGATTTAAATATATACCGCCATTCAAAACACACTCGCTCGGCAAACCACTTGATACGGGTTTGATTCCTTATGTGCATCTCGTATTATCTGTATTTGTTCGCTGTTTTCTATGTCATAGATCATTCTGTTTGAAGGAATCTATTCGCGCATAGGAAAAACGCCGCGTATTGCTGGCTGCACAGAAAGCGTTAATTCCCTAGGGTCAGTTATAAATAAATGCACATGACAGACCGAGACGCATTGTTTTTCACCCAGTGTTTGATTCAGTGTTGCGGAGCCCTAGTTTTGACATTTTCCATATGCCTAGTGACAATTTTATACCTGTTTTTTCTTTGTTAATATTTTGTTTTAATTATCATATCTTCAGTGAGTTGCCCAACTCTTCCCGCCCCTGCTAATGGAAGTGCCATCGTGACGACCTACATGGCAGGGGGCGTGGCTAGATTCGTGTGCGATGCCGGCTTCGACATGAGTCACGTGGTCAACTTAACCTGCCAATCAGATGGTACATGGAGTGATGGCGATATCCCGACCTGCATCAGTGAGGCATCTGGACAGACAATGTCAATGACCATGCCCTTGTTTGAGACTTCTCCGCAGTTGATTACAAACAGAAAGAAGGACCCTACATCAGGGACGCCACTTGGGCCAGGTAAGAATTTAGTCAGGTCGATGTTAAAAGGGCCATAACCATCTTGTTCAGATGTTAGATTTCAGGTATTCGATTCTGGCTTCTACATTAATAAATATTTGTATTTTCCTTATCCATTTTTTAAGACGAAATACCATGAACTCTGTCATATGCTTTATCTTTACAAATAAAATACAAATATCCGTACTTCTTAAGTTCTTCTTGCTTAATCGCACCTAGTTTATCCATGTATTAAGTGTTTAAGTCAAGAATTAAATAAATCATTTCCTCTTTCCCTACAGTTCTTTCGACGCCCGCGGTCATCGGAATATCTGTGGGATCAGTCATTCTGATCGTTGTGATCGTGCTTATCGTCAGTGTGATCTGCGGACCAAAGAAACGTCCGCCGTCGAGCGGGTATGTTAGATATCTCGTTGGCGCCAAACACACATAGAAAAGCACGGCCATCATGGTAGCAAAGACCTTCATAAAAATCAACTGAAGACAATTTCTATACTCTATTGTACTTCCAATAAAAACCATATTGGGATTACGTTGATATTGTCTGAAGTTGATTTTTTTTTCACAAGTCTTTGCCATATTGTTCGTGTTATAGATATGGGTTTTCACATGTAACTCGTTTCTTGTATAGGGTTTCGCTAGTGTGCTCCGACATTTGTCTGGGCGACAATCGCTCCTAAATTCATTTCCTTAAAAGTATGGGGTAGATATAAGGATTGCAATAGGTTCGTTTGGTTTAGGTTTAGGATTAACGTTAAGTTTAGGTATAGTGTTGGGTTCAGTGTCGAGGCTAGAAATTCTTAGGAAATTACCGCAAATGATACAAATGATCAATCGGACTTCATCACATAACTATTTTCAGTATCCCGTTTGTTCGTGTACTTCATCATCATTATAATGATTACTTTCTTTTTCCCTCTTCAAACTTCTTGTCGCTTTTTTGTTTTCTTGTATTAGGAAGGTAAGCTCTTCAACAGACCAGGCTGGAGATCATGAAAATCCTACTTATGACCAGTAAGTCCTCTAAAACATATACCTGTGTAATTGTCACGCAGTTACATTGTGAATGAAACTGTTGGAAGCAACTTAAAAAGGTTTATTAATAATGATATTTATTTCATGATAATACTTATAGTAATGATAGAAATGAAAATAATAATAATAATAATAATAATAATAACAAGAAAATTGATAATATTAATGATAAAAATGATAATAATAATAATAATAATAATAATAATAATAATATTAATAATAACAATAATAATAGGAATTTATTCCTTGAAACGCAAAAGCCAGGGTAATTATGCTGCATTATTGGAGATCGCTTAGAGCGCTTAGAGTCTTCTGATAAAGTAAGTGTTAGGCGCTATATAAGCAAGGATAGTTATTGTTAATAATAATAATAATAATTATAATAATGATTTAAATGATAATCAAAGCGGTAAATAACAACAATAGTATTGATAATAACAGTAATATAGAAATATAATCATAATTGAGCGATCCACCTTTATGGAAAAATCACAGTGTTGCCACACTATATTCACAATATGGGCATTATGTGTTCACGTCGTTGTCACAGTGTGAAGTTTAAGACCATGTGGTTTACCACATATTATTCACATAAACTGACATATTTAACACAGAGTGACACACATTTTACACAGTGTGGTATATTTTAATTATATTTTTGATCAATGATATCCTGTTCGGTGATTGGTCAAAATAGCATCATGTGACCAAACATAACATTGCTATGATGTAACCGTGACGTCATCCATGGTAAAGTGCAAATTATATCCCGCATACTAAGAATCTTGCAATCTGATTGGTCTAAACGAGGTCACATGATCAAATATAGATAAGTACAATCTACCTGAGATAGTACTTTTGTAAATTAATGTTTTGCAGCTACCCCACTTGCACACCCTTGCCCATTGAATACGCATAGCAAAGTAGGTTACGCTAAATGTCAAAGTAAATGTCAATGTCAAATGAGCGCGCATCGACTGTATTACATGTATGCATGTTGCGCTTTGTAAAATCTAGCTGAAGCTAAACTGTCTGCAGAATCAGTTCTTATTGTTATGTAAAATTCACTTTAAATAGACCTTATTGTCGATGAGGGATATAAAACAAATATTAACCTCCTTTACTCGGACAATGGATACAAATTATCATTGCCTCAGTGATCTCGGGGCTACCATCATTCCTCGCTGATGATAGTAGCCCCGAGATCACCTCGGCGATAATAGTTGGCACCATTACCCTCGTAGTCGATTAATATTTGCTTACTATACCATGGCACTATAACATGGATGACGTCATATATATGCGATCGATTAAGATCAATGTGCTATCGGTCACGGTCGCGGTACTGTCGTTCGTGCTGCTCTCACTGCTCTCACTGCACTCTTCACTACTTTAGTGACAGTTAACATAATTATTATTATTATTATTATTATTATTATTATTATTATTATTATTTGTACGAAGGTTGCTTGGAAAAATATAAAACAAATATATCATGCACTTCATGCATTTCAGACCACTAGTTAAAATTATGGATTCCTCGGCGACAAAAATGGCACTATTTTCTTCAGGGCTACGCCCCTCAGAAAATAGTGCTATTCCTGCCACCTCTATCCAGAATTTCAACTAGAGCCTCTCAGTGCATGGTATATGTGTTTACTATGTGAAAACTCTGTGCTCAAAGTATTGTCACAGTGTGGTGTTTGCTTTACCACATAATCGGTCATATTTAACACAGAGTGACACATATTTATAAGAGTGTGGTATACATTTACCTATGTGCAAACTATGCGATCACAGTATGTTCACAGTGAGGGGTTTCAGATCATGTGGTCTTCCACATAGTCGTACATATTTAACACGGTGCGCCACATATTAACCACAATGTGGTATGAATTACTGTGGTAGACTATGTGGTAATAATGTGTTTGGTCCCTGAGCGTGCTACCACATGGGTGCCACATGTGATTTTGGGACGTGTGGTAACGCTGTGGTGTACTATGTGATGCGTACCACAGTGTGGTAATGCTGTGGTATACTATGTGGTTGATGCCACAATGTGGGCTACATGAGATGTTAGGGACATGTGGTAATGCTGTGGTATACTATGTGGTTGATGCCACAATGTGGGCTACATGAGATGTTAGGGACATGTGGTAACGCTGTGGTGTACTATGTGGTGCGCACTACATAGTACACCACAGCGTTACCACATGTTCCAAAATCACATGTGGCCCTTATGTGGTAGCACGCTGTGGTACAACACTATATTTGACTATGTGGTACACAGTGTGGTTTATTATGTGGTAACACTGTGGTTGGGGCAGACCATTAGGGCAGACCCAGAGACAAGAAATAGTGGAGGTGGGTTGAAAAGAAAGCCAAAGAAACATAATTAATGTTGATGGCGTTTCTTTTTGTCTCTTTTTCTCTATAGTGCTGAGGCTTGGCAGTAAACTTCAATACAACGAGTTTATCGACGCATGAGGAGAGAGCTGCTGTTTCGAAATCTCTCCAAATGTATGCATGAGCGAATAACCAAATCGAAGCTTTTTCTGGGCTCTTTTACTTTTCATAATGTGTATTGTTTTTAAATCACAGAAATCGCTATTACTCAGACATAAACGGCTTAAATATATATTTTACAAAGTTTACTATTTTCCTTTATGTGTAGTTTCGTCCTTTTAAATTTTGCGATTAAAATCAAATGCAATTGTCATTTAGGAAATAGGTAGGACGGCGCAGTATTCATCAACATATTCCCAATGATACCATTATCTATAACCATTACACACGCAATAATTTAGAATTATGTTGTTGCAGTATCTTACTATTACTCTCAATAAACTACTTTTATGGAAAGTGGATTTGTTTACCTCTCTCTGTAGCTGTTATATTCTGGTTTTTCTCGCGCTGCTTGCATTCATCCTTCTGATATTAGTTTCATCTCTCATTTTCCAATCACGAGGTGGCAGTTGTACATCTTACAGTGGTTTCAACGGTTATTGAATACCACTTGGGAAATGAAAAACATTCAAAGGAAACAAAAAGAATGGATCACGTTAATAAAGAGTTCACTGGTACAAAGATTACTTTCGTAATTCTTGAATATAGACACAAACATTTCCTGTTGGTTGGGTTTGGTGGGTGGGTGAGAAAAGAAACAAAGAGGCAAACAGAATAACAAACGTTAAATAAACTTCAGTTTATTACAAGGCACAAAGGGAGAGGTCATAACATGAACGAAGATTTATAACAAAATAAGAATGGTTAAACAAATACACTAAATTGATGACAGGATTCCACACAATACTTTTTTGATTTTTTTTGTTATCTCTTTACCTCTACAGAGGGAATTTATTGTTCCATTTCAAAATACAAATATATTATTAACAAAACAAGTAAAATTAAACATATCAGTTACATACAAAATCAACATAATTTCTTAAAATGATAATTTTAACATTTCTAATACTTGTTTAACTTCATTATCGAAGTATCTTATATTTTCTTTGTATTTCAAATAACTTTTTAATGATGAAATAAAATTATTTGTTAACCTCTTTGGATTGGTTGGTACTTCCCCAAAGTTCCGCTTTACGTAGTCTTTGTATATTACCAGTTGAGAATAATTTATCAAAACATTATTTTATATCCAATCAACAATATTTTCATATCAATTTCAATTTCTGTTTTAAAGATGAAATATATCATTCTTTAGATAATTTTCCAGAAAACTCTTAATGTCTTGCAACGAAATATAAAATGTTCAATAGTTTCTTTTTCACGACAAATTCACATTCGTTAGACTGTACGATATCCATATAAAGAGATTGTCTTTAGAGGGTAATATCATATGAATTAATTTAAAATTGTATTGTTTGATATTATTGTCTCTTATCTTATTAAAGTCGAACTGAAATATGTCTTTCCAACAAATGTTTCTGGTAGGCCTAAAATAATTTGCCAGTAATGGAAACCAATTTTCTCTTTTTTACTTTCTAGCATTAAATCATAGTAACTTTTCGCTTTAGTACATTCAACGTTTATAACATCTAAAGTTGTCTCAATGTTCTTATTCAGATTTCGGGAATGCTTTTTTTAATTTTGCCATTTTGAATAAAAACAACAGATTTTTTACATCAAAACGGTTATTTAATAGAGAGTTATCTATCCATGTACCTTGATTTATAACATGTTTGATTAAAAAAATACTTCTTTTATGAATTACAATATTACTATTATTCCAAAGTATTTCATTGGGAATATCTTTTACTTCAAAATTATTTACATATCGAATTTCTGACCATATGAAAAGCAAATCCATTTATATCCATATAAAGCATTGGTATTTTTTTTTTTTTACATATCACACACAATACACGCGTATTACGATGAATACAATAACATTAAAACAAAATAATCGAATAGATTTTAATGCACACATCTAGAAATGCAATAGTTGTACTAAATCAATAAAAAAACAAAATGAAGTTTTTCTTTTAAGCCATACAATAATTTTGTTTTTAATTTTAAAACATTATCATGAACAAAATTTGAGATAATTAATTTGGTAACGTAATCAACAATGCTCATGGCGTTGTGTAAATTTTTACTCCGTATATAGATATTTGTTTCTTACAATTTTGAAAAATTAAAGTATTAGACTTACACGAGTAAGCAGTAGACTTGTCATAGCATTTATTTTGTAATTTGTTCTTGGCACGAATATACTTAACTGATTTTATTACAAGTAGTCTTGTTTTTCTTTTGAAGTAGTTTTAAGAAATATATATTTTTAAAACGTCTATAAGAGGTGACATGTCGCTCATCGGTTTGATAAATAAAAAGGTCATACAAGAGAAAGAGAGAGAGAGAGAGAGAGGAGAGAAATAAAATACATTATCAGATAATGAGAAAGGAAAATCTCTATAATTATCATCATCGTCATCATCATCGTTTTTTTTTTTCGTATCTTGTCTCACTTTTATCACGAAACCTCATAAAATGGATTAAAATCCTTTTGGGTTTAATCATCCATTACCAATGGCCGTCGGCAAAAAAAATATTTGTTTCGAATTCTTCATTGCTCACTCTCTTAGCCTTGCCCCATCCCGCTCCCCCCCCCCCCCCCCACCTCCTGTCACTCTCTCTCCCTTCTAATTTTACTCTGAGAAGTCGGTTGAATAAATGTAGTTAGAATTGTATGAGAACTTTATGTATCAATTTATCCGTTAAGTTATCTTGTCATGGGATAATAATACCTGTGAGAATTACCATTCACGATACATGTACACGGTATGTGTAAATGTACATTGTGCTTTCCACTTCAAATGCGCATTCTGTAAAAAGTCATCAATTCAGCTGGGATAATTCAAAATTAATTATCCATTGCATTGTGCGGCATGACAACATACGTCATATGTTAAATCATGAAAAAAGCGTTTTAATGGACATATTTATGGTGTGTAATTTGTTTGTTGAAATATAGGAATTTTTATGAGCCCTATATTCTGAGTAAAAAACTGTTTTATGATTCAGTGCGCCATACATGATTATGTGTGTCGAATCAAACTTTCAATTGTATACTAAACAGGTTTATTAATGTCATAGTACGATGAGACAATAAATGAGGCCCAGGAGACGTTTTTTAGCATCATTCTGGCTATTTATTCATAAACTGTTAATTCTCGGTGTTCACGCAAAACTGAAAACCTTGCAATTGGCAGAAAGAAAAAAAACACCTTAGTATATAATCAATTATATATGTTATCTTCGCAACAACATGATTATCTTGATGAACATAAAACAAAAACAATTATTATACAGAAATATTGTTATTCTCTTGATTAAATATCATATAAAGTATTTCAAAATTGATCTCCGATTCAAATCTGCCTAATCGTGATTCTCTCGTATACTCACTTAAATCAAATGTTATAACCATGTACTCGAATAAATGATCTAATTATATCAAAACATCAATCATCAAACAGTAATATAAGTCTAGTAATCGGAGCAATATACTACTACCAGACAAGCGAAAATATACCAATCGGTAGGTATGTATAATAGGCTGGAAGCCTTGAACAATGCTGATAAACTATAAGCCCAATCGTCCCACAAAGTCAGACTTTATATACTTTTAATGTAAACATGATTCACATATATTAATTAACATCTTGTAAATTCTGTAACACATGATACTAGTATAATACACATCGCAATATTATACTCAGTTAAGTTACACAACGTCTGTTACAAACTTCTAACAGACTGACGTCTAAACGTATCCAAGGTCAACAGCAAACAACACAAACTGAAATACAAAACTGGAAAAATTATTCTTTAAATCATCTTTGAAATCCCTCAAAACCTCTATATCCCTCAAAACATCTATATCGACAGAAAATGGTGCATAAACAATTTTACCACAAATTTCTCTAACATTTTGTTTATGAACAGCGCAATATAAGTAAATCAACTCCCTATAACCAAAACCTATGTTCAACATCATTAACATACATCTATATCCACCTCAAACAATGCATTATCACTCACTTTGATACATGATTAAATTTAATATATTTTTTTCTAGAAGCATAACATATACTCATAAAGACTGCTAAATAATTGTAGAAACACTTTCCACAAAGATAAACCGCGTGTCTCTCTAAAGCCCACATCAAACCAAACTAGATCTCACTACGTTTTTGACCCGTCCTAAAATCGTAAAACGGGTCGGGGTCTAGGTAGAATGTTGAAATAATGTCTATAAAACAAACCTAGTTCGTTCATAAACAGTCTTCAAAACGTCCATCTCGTCTGTACCTCTTCTACAGTCAATTCATATCAAGTTCAAATCGGGTAAATGTGTAAATGTAAATTTCCAAGTAGTCTAAGCCCATTTGTAGTCAAATTAACTGATTACACCTCGAGTTCCCGATAAGTCCAACCCCATTCTTAGGAGTTCACAACTGGTGCTAACTAGTTTGTAACCCGACCCCCCCCCCGTTTAGAGACAGTTCAGCTCCTCCTGATTATGTTCTTAGTGGCCCTTATAGTGCGTGTGCCATACCGTCCTGACTCGAGGGCTATACAAAAAACCAGCATGTGCTTGCCATTCCTTATTCCCGTTCAACTTTCAAGCTGAGCAGATCAAGACATTCATCGGGATGAACAAGGAAACGGGCCCGGTCGAGCTACAAACTTAGGAATGGTTGTACTGTGAAGTGGGACAAAGAGTCCGATTCCAATACGAGGAAAACAACAAAATTCCCCAAAATATTATTTGTTTGTTTACAACATAAAAATGAATTTGCTAACTGAGCTAAATTGAATATTAGGCGTTACAAAAAACAGTTTAATGAATCACAATATCACAATACTCTTGATATTTACAAACTTACATTTAAATAGAAACTTTTAAAGATGCATATACTTTGATCAAATAGTTTATACCACTGTACTTTCATTTTCAATTTACAATTAATGATAAAATGACGAAATATCTATGATTTTTCCATAAATAGCCAAACACTATCAAAAATAGGAATTCAACACAGATTACTTCCATTGGTCATTTAAGTAGTCAATATCTTTTACTAGAAAAATAAATATGTCAGTGTCTCATATACAGTGTACATGTATACATATACCCGGGTTCGATTCCAAAAGGAGACATTTTGCAACCTTTGCAAACGAATTCCGAAGGGGATGACAGCACCGCTCTATTATTGTACCTGCAAAAACTGTCCTTCGGGAATTGAACCCCATTCCCAATGGCATATGCAATAAATGTTCCAATAAATTCTTGCACTTCGATCCAATGATTGGGTATTTGATGTATGTATACAATCCTTAGAAATAGAGGCGTTGAGTGAAAGTGCTATACAAATAAAATCGTTACCATGATACATTCACAATAGAGGGTATGGGTGTGGCGTCAATCAAAACTAACATTAAATAAGCAGCTTGTGCAATGAAATATTACATGTATACAGTATATAATATATGCTTCTATACTTTGTACAACAAACAATTATACTTTTAATATGTAAAAGTGTTGTGGTCCAGTGGGTAAGTCTCCTGACTTTAAACCACAAGATACTGGGTTCGAATCCCTGTCGCATCACCAGTAATGGTCCTTTGACAAGACACTAATCTATATTTGCCTCACTCCACCCAGAAGGTAAATACGTACCTGGTAGGAATTTATTCTTTGAAATGCTTGAGCGCCGTAACGAACGGTAGCTGCGATAAAGCCAGGGTAATGATAATGGAGTGCCCGGAGTGGTAATATGCCAAATTTGAGCGCTCACC